TAACCTACTTATGAAATGAATCATACATAATTCCCAACATTTTCAACCAGAACATCAAATAATTAGAACATCAGAAAGGTTTTAACGTTTTCAGCTACCAAGCCTGTTGGAGCTTGCCATTCTTAAGGATTAGGAATCCTACAGCTGAGCGCGACCAGTACACCATGATCTTGAACTGCCCTTCAAACTGTTGGTTCAAGTGCTCAACTACGGATTTAATCTCACCCGTGGTCTCATCGTGCTTGATGCGCTTTCGGCGGCATCCATCCTGGAGACATTTGGTAATAGACTTGTAGATCAGTTTATACTTAAGGATATGTAGCCATTATGTTGCTCATATGTGATATGTCATAACAAACATGCATGCTTAAGATGAAAGGCGAGTGGGCTGTCCTCTCCAGCTTTGGGGGCTGGCTCCGCACATGTGGACGACTGCTTTGCTTTTTTTGCCTTTGCTCCTTTGCCTGCATGTCCTGCCTGGTCCATTGCCTCCTCTTCACCCGGTGCCTTCTTTACATTCTTCGTTTTCTTCGTTTTGCATCCCTTGACCTTGCATCCCTTCTTGACTTTCTTCGTTTTGCCTGCCTCCTTGACATTGCGTTCATCCTTGCCCTTACCTTTGCTCATAGTGGTTGGGATTGCCGTTGTCTCACTGCTTGGATTCCTTGTCTTTGCTGCTGATGGTGTGGCCTTATCCTTCTGGGTGATCTTACCATCTTCTGGTTCATTGCTTACCATGCGCACCTGTGACTTCATCCTGCGAAGTCTCTTACCTATGGTTTTTGGACTGTTGCTGGATTGCTCCTTGTTTGCTTCAGGTTCTGCCTTTGCTGCCTTTCCTGCCTTAGCTGCCTTTCGTGCCTTTGCTGGCTTTTCTGCCTTGGCTGCCTTTCCTGCCTTTCCCTTAGGCTTCCTTCCTTTCCTCGTAGAGTTTTCCTCTTTCTTTTCATCCTTCAACCGCTGTTGCTTCAAGCGATCCACAACCTGAGCGCACAGAGCAGCTGAGAACCCACATATTGAACTTTTCCCCTGAAAAAAAAACATCTAAAACAGAAACACTTGAAGTTCGGTTGAAGTGGTAGAGACATCAACCTATATCCGGTTCAAGGAACAGGAATGCGCTCACCTTCATCACCATTGCCAGTAGTAGGATCATTGATTTTGGGGCCTTCATCCTCACCCTGAGTGGCTTCGGGGGGGCACCAAGCTTCATCCACCCCAGCATCGGGCACAGCATCGGGCACAGCATCGGGAGCGTAGTACTGAGTTTCATCCGGCACCATCGGGAGAGTCTCATCAAAGTCCATTGCTGGCACAGAAGTGCTGGCTTCCAACCTGGGAAAGAGATGGGTTCACAGGTTTGATATTAATTTTTAAAGGTTCCAGGGGAATACATCTATCCTAAGGTTCCAGGGGAATACATCTATACCTCTTAAGATTGCTGTTGATCAACTTGGATGGCCATATGAACAATGTTTTCATAAAGACGGAAACTGGTCGATGGTACTGACAAGAAACTTCAAATCTGACTGCAACTTTTCCATCCGGGATCTAATTTCAGCAACCCTTGATGAAGTCGAATCCACTGGTGACGCTATCTCTGGAACTGGATCACTCGGAGAAACCATGGGAGTACCAGTACTGTTGGAATTCTGACCTTTGAGTTCAGCAATCCTGGCCTTGGCCTCCATGATTTTTTTGTGCAATCCAAACACACATTCCTGCTCATCAACAGGAAGGGCTTCTGGAACCCACATATCATTCTCAAGCAAACCCGAGTTCCCACCCACAGATTCAGCCAGAGCTGGCACAACCGGGGTTGTAGTAGGTGAAGGAATTGGCACCTGACGAACCCGATCACGTAGATCACACTCCTTAGATTCGCCCTTCTCATCCTCGCTGTCGTCAGGAGCTGACTTGTCCGCGGGGAGGTCTAAATAGAGTTCCTGAGAGGCGGAGTTGCGCGGCCAAGGCCGGTGGGAATTGATAGCAAACACTCCAACATATTGCAACAACTGTATACATGCATGTAATGTAGGGTTCCAAATATATTGAAATGATTCCCATAAAATCTATATATCAACCTCAGCCTGCAGTCAAATTCATTGGTTTCACCGGTTTCACCTTTACCATTTGAAAGTGTGCTGGCCCGATGAACCATGGACAATGTGCCGGGTGCAAAAAAGGCTCCAACTCGCCAAAGTGGGTCAAGAGCTCTCTGAAGTCTGCGTCCTCCAGGGGTAGCTATGGGGCATTTATGATCCAAGGGATCTGAACCATATTGTGGATGGAAGAAATCTTGCACCGGATGATAGATGGTTTATCCAATATAGTCCCATTGCAGTTATAGTTATAAGTGTTACCACTATACATGGGCACGAAGCGGTGCAGGTGCAGGATTTCTTCCATCCATCATATGCAAATTGGAATGGAAGAAAATACATACTGTGGTTCCGGGAAAGACCTGGAAATTATGATCTGATTTGAACTGCATGATTGATAATCACATAAAAAAATGGAAACATGCATGAAGAAAGGAACCCTTGTCCCGTGGCATGTGAGGACGAATGTACTTGGCTCGCACATATGACACCAGCTTCTTAATGCTAATCACCGACAAATGAACCGGCACTTCCAACTCTTCAGGGATTGGAGGAAGGTTGTGGGCATCAAATCCCTGCTTGGTAGACAGCAGCTGGAGAATCCAAACTTGGTCTTGAATCGTCCCCATATCAGGTGTCTTGATCAGGTGGTGGTATCGCATATTCTCCATGATTGGGATCAAGACTTCTCTGTTCCACAAGGCATGACGTACATCTTTGGATGCAAGGGGCTGGGTATTGTTGGTTACAACAATGGCACCAATGCCGCCCTCTTTCACCCTCTCTTGGATGGAAGGCTCCATCCACCAATGCTTAGCAACACCATAAAGGTTCGCCATAGCAAGGCAGCAAAACGTTTTTTTTTTGAGCCGGTTTGCTCTGAAGGGAACGCCCAAAAGCTTCCAGCAAAAGCCAACTGTACTTGCAAGATAGAATTCATGGCAAGAAATCAAATCAAACTTATTTCGTTTTTCGATGCCCCCCCCCACGTAATCAGAGCGGGCCTCAACGTGCTCAGCAGCGATGCAATCATCCCAATCAGGACGCATGGTTTCTATGCACATATTTCAAGAGACCCTGTTGGGAATCTATAATATATAGTCTATGCCACATAATATATTCTATGGCACCCATCATATATTTCTTCCATTCTCGATTTGGGGTGCATGGTCACATGCATCTTCCCCTTTTTTATTTCACATCATTCACATCCATACTGTGAGCCTTGGATGCAAGGATCGGGCGCACCTCCAATAGCAATATCGTGAATTGACCAAATTATCTGGTCATTACGGGTAAAATTGTTCATTGATCATTAAAAGGTGTATTCGACCAGATTTTCCCATAATGAACAAAAATTTTTGTTCAAACGGCTTTCCAGGTATATATATTATATATATGATATAATCTTCTGACATTCTATTCTGGCATTCTTTTTTTGCTGACATTTTCTCTGGCATTCTATCTGGCATTTTTTCTGCCAAAATTCTGGCATACGTTCTGGTATGCTATCTGGCATTCTATTTGACATTCTATTCTGGCATTCTATCTGGCATCTATTCTGACATTCTTTTCTGGCATTCTATTTCGGATATCTTCGGATATTTTTTGTGGTGGAGGTCCGGCGGGGAACACTTTGATCCGGAGCTCGCGGTTCAGGTCCGGCGGGGAGCACTTTGATCCGGAGCTTGCGGTGAAGGCCCGGCGGGGATCCTGAGCTTGCGGTGGAGGTCCGGCGGGGAACACTCTGATCCGGAGCTTGCGGTGGAGGTCCGGCGGGGAACACTGCGATCTAGAGCTTCCGGCGGGGAACGCTGCGATCTAGAGCTTGCAGTTGAGGTCCATGGGAGGAAGGAGGAGGAAAGAGGCGGGGCAGGTTGACATAATAACAACCCTCACCTGACAGGCGGGGAACAAATCGTAACTCTAACAATGGTGATTCTCGTCTAGTTTTTTGGCGCGGCCTGAAACAAACAAGCAAGATGATGAGCTTCTCTTCCATGTGTAGATGTCCCAAATTAATCAGTCCTTCTCCCAGAGTTGTTTGGAGGGAACATCTACACATGACCCGCAATTGGGAATATCCTACCTCCGTAGGTAGATGAAAGAAAGATTCAAGCCTAAGTTTGGGGTTGAATATTGTGTGTGTGATTATTATGGTGTTTGCTTCTGGTTGGCTTATAGGATCTTTTCCTGGTTGGCCAGCCAATTTTTTTTCGGAATTGTGTGAGTTTTATGGGATTGTTACAATGTTTGCATCTGGTTGGCCCAAAACAACAGGATCGGATTGGCAAGGCTTCTGAATCAGCTTCTAGATTATTATTTAAATGAATATAGGTGTTGCTGCCATTTTGTAGTTTTGATTTGATGGATAGGTTGGTTTCGGGACTGCTTAGGTGTCTAGGTAATTTGTTATTGATTTCAAAGCCAGCAGCTGTTGAGCTGTGGATTCGCTGTGAAACTCAGGATTATGCATCAAACAAGAATGGGCTCAAAGCCGACCTCTTGAATCCGCAAGGTAAAAAGTCGAGGCAGGAATCCTCGGTTGCTGCATTCGAGCGGCATTGCGTTGCCCATCCATCTCATGTAGTCACGAACATCCCCATTGGGTCGATGAGGTTGCATGCGGCTGTTTCGAGCAAGGGGATGATCTCAGCCTACACATAGCATGGGAAAAACGTTTTGGGACGGGATGGAACAGGCACATGCTGAAACATGGCATTCATGAAGTGATCCAACATAGGCAGCTTCTTCTGCAGTTATGGGCGGGGTTGGGAACACGCAATGAGTGACATCCCTAGCTGCTGTCCACGCCATGCTGGCGCGCCATCCGTTGGTTGGATGGACCACGCTTGCCGCGGTGGGGTAGGTGAAACTGCAATGTTTGCTTGTCCTCAGGACGTTCGCCAAATGTCTGGTTGTGAGATTGAGGCGCGCTGGGCTGAGAATAGTTGACACGCCGAGAAGTTGATGCCGCCCTTTTAGATTTACTGCGAAGAGGCCCAAACCATTGTTCTGCAGTTTGCCTGGGTACAACCGGGATACAACGTAGATTTGTTTCTCGCAGACTTTTGGAGGACCTGTCAATGTCAACTTCAAGCGGAGAGTTGCCGGATGGTTTGAACAAAGGGCGTCACGTTTTCGTTCTTTTGTTCAAAGCGTTACTTTTTGAATTTTGTGGCATCACAGGGAAAAACAGGTTGCCAACATTTGCCAACTTTGTTTCTTAGATGTGGCGGGGTTGGCAATTTTCCTGCCACCACCTGTTTCCAGACAACAATTGAGCAGATTCAAAGCTCGTAGGATCCAGTTTTTTTTGCGGACAATTCCGGACAGTTCATGCAGTTTGCATCCAATTTTGTTTCCACTTTGTTCATTTCCGCCCGTGTGGGACAACTGGATGTGATGATGGACGCGTAAGGTATGACGTAGGCGTTCTTTTCCCCCAATGTATGCTGGATATCTCTCTGTTTTTTTCTATGAATTTGGTTGAATTACCGCTGTTTGGGTTTTAATGGACGCTACGCCAACCATGTCGCAATGGGACACGGAAATCCGGTCGACCTACCGAGAGCACTGTGTTTTGGAAACCGATGAGCACACCTGTCTGGCCGGGTCCCCACTAACTAACGGATCATCAAAACTTCATTTTTTTTCGAATATTCTGAATATTGGAGTTTTGTTGAGTTTTGTTGAAATGGGGTATCCCCCGAGTCGCCTTGTTTTTTGCCACTCAAATGGTCATGACTTGTATGATGTCGGGGTACCTTTTATTTTTTGAGGAAACCCCAAAAAAACAAGAGATGCAACGCCATTTTCACCTCCATCGGGCCCTTTTGGAAATGACAATCCCCATGTTTCAATGCATGAGTTGACTCCCTCAATTTTGGTTAGGTATTTTAGTGTTTGTTGGTTTGGAACATGATTTTTTTGAATTTCCATATGTTGGCAATTTCATCATCCTAACTGACTTTCGTATTTTTCAGAGGGGTAGGTATACCACCAACCAGAGCATATTGTTTTCATCTCTTGCTATCACTGGTAAATTTTCCACACCAACTAAAACTATATTTTTGTGCAGGTATATAAAATTCACCATGTTGAAACCACTAAAAAAATCCACCGTTCCTTGCGGTTGACATAACCACGTTGAATCCTCCACTTGAAACCACCAGGCTGACACTGTCAGGACACCATGGTTTTCGATTTGTTTGACAAAAATACACATATAAAAATACACATATGCAAACCCAAACATGAGCAAACGATGAACACCTGTCAACATGAACCGTGTCATAAATGATATTTGTTGTATATCATATTGAATCATTAGAACCCGGATATTTATAAATTGATGGGACCCCATAACTTTGGCTCACTACGGCGTCACTACGGAATATTTATACTTGATGGGACCCCGTAATATTAATTATTAGTATAACATAGTTTAACTGTCATTATACAAAAAATCATCACATAACCCAAACAACATTTACCATCTGGTTATTTAACATAGCCATGGAAAATCACAATTTATAAGTTCGGTAAGCCATCTATTTCTATGGGCCATTTCCCATGGCTATGTTAAATAACCAGAGGGTTTATAAGCTGGTTTATAATCCCATTTATATAGATATATCTAGCATAAGTCCTAGTTATTAGAGTTATGTACCAAAAAACATTTAAGCAATACATGACATGGTCAACTTATTTTTTGGGACCCCGTAACGCACATGACAGGTTCGGGATCTGCCAGCACACGACGAGGTCGTCAAAGCATTTTTCGTGAAAGCTACCGACTGGGAAAGTGTAAGATGTGCTATTGTCAAAGCCTTTATAAATCAAGGTTTAATGGGAACAATCCTCCATAAATGGAGGTTTTAATGGTTATAATATGTTTTAATTTTATATAATATGTTTTAATAAGCTATCAATGGAGGTTTGAATGGGACAATTACCCTTCAAATCGGATGGTTAACTGGTTGGTGTTTGGGAACATTTTTATGACTTTCCATTCAGTTGGAAATTTCGTCATCCCAACTGACTTTCACTCCATCATTTTTCAGAGGGGTAGGGCTCAACCACCAACCAGGGATGGTTAATACATGCTCAATACTAGAAATGAACAAAATCTACCGTCCCAGGCTGCAAAAAGTTTGCAGCATTTTTGCTGCGATCAAGTCACGTGAATCCCTACGATGACCATCCCCTGGTAACAGTTTGCACAAGTTTTTAAAATGAGGCATGTGGGAAAATCATTTCTATGTTTATACGTATATATATATATATTTATATGATTATATATGTATATGTTTAATGTATGTATATATATATATATATATATTGTTATTATATTATATGTGTATATGCATATATATATATAAATATAATATATATATATTTATGTGTAAAGTGGGACATTCACATGGGTGTGGCTGCAAACTGGTTCGAACCGCTTCATTTAAAACATTGATAAAATAATGTTCAACCATTTACCAGTTTGCTTCACTGCATGTCCAAAAAGATAAACACATTTTCTGTAACATGGCCAATCGTTGGGGATGCAATGCACGTTTTTGTACTCACAGTTTTGGTTGTCAGAAGAAGGTATAATGGGGATGACATCAGCCAGTACCCTCTGGTAAACTAACATAACTATGGAAACTCACCATTTCTAATGGGAAAATCCACTATTTCTATGGTCATTTTCAATAGCTATGTTAAATTACCAGAGGGTATTCGGTAGGTGCATGGTGTGTGGCATGAATTCCACGGAAACCAAAGATGTTGATTTGTCTGAAAAGCTACGGGGTACCCCCAAAGGGCAGGTAATGGCAAGTCTGTTTGGACAAATGATGATGAAGCTGATGAACCATGATTTTTTTGTCAGCCTTTTTTCAGACACACCCATGTGACACATGTGTCAAAATGTCCAGATGGGAATGGGTAAATACCTTTGACATTCCCTTGTCAGGGCCATGCACATCCCCAACTACCAGCTATATGTGTTGAGGTTAAAACACTGGTCCAAAACGTGAAAGATCCACCTTGGCATCTCGCAATTCATAGACAACTTTTGGTGGATGCCAAGGTGTTTTCCGCTGAAACATACTCAACTGGGCTATATCCTGGCAGTGTCAAGCTGCCACCAGCTGCAGGGGTTGTGCACCTTGATCGGTACTCTGGAAGCTCGTGTGAAGGCGGAGTTGCACAGGGGACGGGTCAAAATTTAAGCACTAAAAGCGACCACAGATTGGAACGTATATGTTTGGTATTCATCATCTAATTATTGGATACCCTATTTTGACCTGTAGCCAAATGTTTCCCCATGTTTCCCAGATCTAAACCTCAAAAAATGAGGATCTCTGAACAGTTCCCCCATGGATTCCAGAAAAAACCATGGGGTTTTGGTACCACATGTCCGTGGCCTCAGGGATTGCAACTGTCCTGGGGCTTACTGCGTCTTGCAGTTTGGAAGTCCAAACCTTGTATGAGTTGAGACGGTATCTTTTGCTGTGGGGGTTTCTTAAAATTGGGTGATCCCCAAGCCACCATGGGTTTAACACCCATGATTTGGGGTACACCCATTTTTGGAAACCTCCTGTTGGAAAACGTGTTCAATTGATTTCATGATTTTGATAGCATCATACCATATCATACCCCATCCGATCCCAAGCATGCACTGATTTGCCAAAAACCAGGGGTTGAATCTGCTTTCGCATCCTGTCATGAGGTTCAAAAACATTCAAAAACCGTACAATTTTAACACCACAAAACCTGGAGTCCCACTTGAATGGCAAATCAAGTTTCAGTGAGTACCACCTTTTGTGGTTTGACGTTGACCTTGCTTCCGAAGGAATATATTTTCCTCAGAAATTGGGTTTCAAATATTGTTTTTATTTTTCCATATATTGGGAATAATCATCCCAACTGACTTTCATATTTTTCAGAGGGGTAGGTCTACCGCCAACCAGAATTCTGTTTGCCAGCTAAAAACACGAATTCTGACTGGGTAAATCTTGTGAAACGGAATGAACAGGTTTGAATTACCATGTCGGTTGTTTCTTCTTTCTGCCAAAACAACGATGCCACAAAAATGCCGCCCCAATGAACGAATCCTAACTCCGCGATGTTAGGCGTATTTGGGCGTGGAGTGGAGCTATCCTTTTGATTTTCCAAAGACATTTCATACTTCATTCCTAAATCCATCCTATTTGCTGGGTAGGTTTAAACCGCAAAATGGTCACGTATTATGACGTATCCTCTCAAAAAAAATAACATCCCAATCTTTGGCCTTAGCTGTGGGATTCCTGCTGGCAAGCGCCATGTTCCTGTTCAGTTTTCGTCACTTTTTACATCACCCAACGAACCAGAAACGATGAACCCAGACACTAGCGGATGTGGAGCCAGGCGGCACAACAATTCCTGAAGAGATTGGAGGAGGTGCGCTGCAGCCAAGAAATTTCTTCATCTGGTGGCGAACTACCCACGGCTCGTATATAAGTGGCTTATATTCCTAGTTTTTCCTATGTTTTTTTTAGCCCTACTTATCCCATTTCCAGGGTTACCACCCGGTGCTTACAAGTATCCAGGAGAACAACATTACGTTCTGAAATTGGGAGATTGTTGGATGCTGGTGCTGTATATATGTGTATGTACATATATATATATAATATTATATATACAATATTATATATATATATGTATACATACACACACTGTATTACTATGTATGTATGTATATATATATAAGCAATTCCATCTCTAAGTGGATCCTTTCCATTCTGGAAGTCGGTCAAATAATGGGCTCCATGAGACAACTGACCAGTCCCACTTAAGAACCAGCCAGTTAGATTCAGGTAACCGGTTATACCTCCCAATGTATTATACATGTATTATATATATAGATAGATAATATAGATAGTTATATAGATAATATAGATAGTTATATAGTTAATATAGATAATATAGATATATACTCCCACATGATTTTAAGATATTTTAAGATTCTGTTCTGGGTAAACACCCAGTTGGCCATGCCACCTTGAGACGGTGAAGCCCTTAAAACCAGGGTTTCACGACTGTCTACCTAGCGAACCGTTCGAACGCTGGAATTTGTAGGTCCAAAAATGAAAACCTGGTTTTGGAGGAGATTTCAAAAAAAACAGGTAAAAAAAAACGCAGGTTGATTATTCAGTATCTTGGCAAACCTTGGCCATGAACGAAGCAAGATGCTATGATTCCACAAAGGATCCGTTCGGAAAAGGGCATGGCCAGCACAGGCTGCCCTCCAGCGGCAGCAATCACCAAAGAGGTCTATGTTATGTCCGGGATCAGCAACAGACCACAGTTATACCAATTATAAGTATATATATAATTATAACCCCATTTATAGAATGTTTTTTATCCCATAGAAAAATCCAGTTAGTTCACTAATAGCCATGGCCATAGCAATGATTCTCGAGACACTGGACCTTATGCTCCTTACTCTGTGGACTGATGCCTTGGTGCATTCAGTCCCAGGGGGGTGAGGCCTATCTGTCAGCAAAAGAGTGAACCGCTTTCCAAGAGATTTATCAATCATTAAAGCGAATTCAGATGAATTAAGACGGGACATATCTGGATATATCTGGGTAAGTTATAACGACCTGACTGTTCTCCCTCACTGGAATCATGGTTAATAATGGAAATCATCCCCAAATGGCCGAACTATTCAGATTAGTGAAATATGTTGATTTACCCAGATGTATAAGAACAGAAAACATATCTGGTTGATGAGGAAAAACATGTTGGCGAAACTTAGAATGGATAATGATATCATCATCCGGAAATGAATGTTTTTTTTGGCTGGGCTATCCTGGCAGGTCCTGGCATGTCCTGGCTTCGGTTGAAAGGAACAAAGCCATCCCCATTATGCCATTCACATCCATTCAATCCCCCTAATCAAGCATAGTTAGCTTATAAAACCAACTTCGCAACTGTAAGGGGTGGCCAAAAACTAGTTAAGCCATGTTAAGCATAGTTAAACTATGAACAATCTCGATAGAAATCCCATAAAATGCGCTTAAACTCTGCCGAGTTCACTTCGTTCCACTCCGTTTCCCGGCAGAGGTTATGGGAGATGGATCAATCCCATCCTCCTTCCCTCCGACGACTTCGAGTCCGCCTGGATTGAACAGGTCATGGACCCTGAGAATTCGGAGGTCGAGATTGTGGAGTCTTATGTCTTCCTATCTGCCAAGGTCTATGTTAATGTTATAATATTATATATATATAGTTGGAGGGATGGTATTTGGAATTTCGATTTTCACACAGGAATGGGATTGAAAAGGTTTAGGTTCAAAAAGGGTACCCTTTTTTGGTATTGACTCATCCGTTTCTGGGGCGAGTGTTGACCCTTCCTGGAGATCACACTTTTAGACTTTGAGATCCCTTTCTGGAGCTTGATATAGCCATTCTGTTCGATATTTATGTTGGACTCAGAGCCAAGACTTCAGCAAACATCTATTTTCTGGTTGAGAAGTCATTGCAATGGAGGCTGTGCTGTTGCTTAGGTCACCGACTTGGGTTTGATTCATGGTTTCCGGTGACGTGGAAAAACCAGCCAAAAGTTCAGAAGAGGTGGCTTATTCAATGTACAATTCACGACTGAAGCACATGCAGATACCATACCCTCCGGTAATCAAACATGGCTTGCTGCTTGCTGGAAAGCCTTCCATTTAGTTACTTAGTTGGATATATGTCCCATCAAAACCTCCATTTGCTGCAGGGTCCTCCATCGCTTTCGTGCGATGCTACCAAATCCCTGCACACCAACCAGTGATGACCGGTGAACGCCAAGGCCCATGCACGACACTTCCAGAAATGAGGCCTTGCTAAATGCAGTGGCACGGGCAGTGGGTAGCCGTTAGGGTTGGCACAAGATGCAGAAGGCCTGTTTGGCTGTTGGTTTCAACAGTTTAATCTATATGGTTGTTTTTTTAAAAAAATTGGGGAATCTGCCCCAAAACTGATGGGGTTTACCCCCATCTTTTTTGGACGCCTCCATTGTCAACTAATTAATGGGTTATCAAGGAAGTATCACGCGACATCACAGGACACTGTTTTTTTGGGAGGTTGACGTGGCCGTATACAAAGTCTCAAACATGGACAAAGAAGCAAAGAAACATGTCCCTAAAAAATGCAGGCGCGACATTTGGAGAAAACACGGATTGATTGAAACCTCACTGGTGATTCTATATAGATAGTGCAGAAGGTATCACCTCAAATGATGTTAAAGATCGGGGAACGTACCTCAAGATCAAACTTTAGGTGCCCTTATTTTCTACATACCTACTGGTAGGTTTTGGAACGGTTTGTTCCTGATCTAAAATGTTGTTTATTGAAAAGTCAAATGTGGATCAACACCTACACTTCTACACCATACTTTTGGGAGATTTTCATTTCCATGTACAAGAGCTATTGTAGGCTTCACCAGGTATCATGGCTACACCATGTTTCACCCAGCAAATTAATATCGTTTGTTTCAAGAGAGCCTTGATATGACGCCTTAGGGGCCCCTTTCATGGCCATTGGAATTGGCAGGGAAAACTTAAATGGCTTTCACTGAAAATAGAGTACTGTAGCTCCCCAAAATCAATCTCACTGACAAGCTTCAAGCAATCAGATCAGATGCGTTGTGGTGGCAACATGTGGCAACGCATTTGGCCAGTGGTTATGATACCCTAGTGCTCCAAATAGCCTCTGAGAAGGTGTAAACAGACTTAGACCCCCAAAAAACAACTCCAAATACAGTCTCAGAAGGTGTGAAAGGAGCTTTTTGGGATAGTTATGGTTGGCGTTTCGGTGACAGGGTGACAGATCATCATCTTCGATGTTCTGCTCCAAGTTTCACGGAAGATCCCACAAGGCCTGGGCGACAGATCTGCCCAGGGACCTGACGCCAACTTGTTTTGGTTGCCGGACGTCAAAAACCACAAATAGGGGTTGCTGTCATCCCAGAAGAAAATAACTCGTCATTACCAACTGTTATGTATATATATATATATACTGTATATGTTTTGATCGATTTAGCAGGTGCTAAAATACCTGTGACAACGCAGTAGATGCTTTGTTGAACCACCAGCCAATCCATTTAGGCTCATATCCCGCCAACCATCCCATGTGATTGATTCACTTCCATGGACACCAGGTGTGTCTTAATGGACAGAGTCCGCTAACTGAGTTGGTTTATAACATGTTACAACTAGCTGAAGAACTAGGTTAACTAGGCAGATATATTGATTTTTTGTTATTTTATAAAACAACATAAACCAACAAACATAGCGATCTGCACCCAGTATCCTCCAGTGATGTTGCTTTCGATTCACCAACCGCAGGACGACTGGTCCAAGGCGCCTCTGGCCAAGGCTTGGCGGCTTGGCCCCACTGGGTATTCGCCATTCGAATCTCCACGTCATAAATATGATGCTGCCCAAATAAATACACTATGATAGTATTTGTATATATATATACACTATATATATGTACTATATATATGTTCTGTATATTAGTTGATTTGTTATTTTAGATGATATAATTTGGGATGAATTGGATTTATGAAGCAACTGATACGTAGTATCTGTGGCCAACATCGAGGTCGGGGATGTCGCTCCAGTGGATCGATGTTTCTTTTTTTGTGGCAGGAAAGTCTTCACATGGCGCATTGTTTACCCGGCCTGGTAAACATACAAAAACATACAAAGACTATGGAACATTACAATTTTTCATGGCTAAATCAATTATTTCTATGGCCATTTTCAATATCTATGTTAGTTTACCAGAGGGTAAATGTTTTTATATTCCCCAAATTGTCAAAAGGGGGAGGGTCAAAACCTATAAATTATAATAAAGATCCAGAAAAACTCGCTATTTTGGGGCACACAGGGGGTTTTGATCAGAGCCATATTGGTTGGAATTATATCATTATTTGAATCATTGAATTCTCCAGTTGCTATAAACACATTTACAATATAGATGACTGGTTGGTGGTTTGGAACATGGCTTTTATTTTCCATTCAGTTTGGAAATTCATCATCCCAACTGACAAACTCATATTTTTCAGAGGGGTAGGTATACCACCAACCAGATTATTATTAACCATCATTAGCCATTTCATAACCATATAATAACCATCATTAATAAACCATATAATATGGTTGTTGCTTAGTCGTACATATTAAACTGTTGGTCAGCATTAAGCTGTACGATTTTTGAATCACCATTACCATCCCCTTTTGGGGGACACATTTTGGAAATCATCCGAACTTGGCAATGGTTTCCCCACTACATATATATATATACATGTTGACATATACATACATTACGTTACATTATATCACTTTACTTCACATTACTTTACATACATACATGTATATATATATACCTTACAGCTCCAAACACCTTCTGAGACTGTATTTGGAGTTGTTTTTTGGGGTCTATATAAACACCTTCTCAGAGGCTATTTGGAGCACTAGGGATATATCATTATCCCATTTTCTCATTGTTTTCCCATATATATATGTATATAATATACATGTATATAATATGTATATAATTTGTATATATGTATATAATATCCATTAATATCTCATGTTCTCATCGTTTTCCCATCGAGTTCCATCACTCTCCAGGAGTCGTACGAGGATCCCTGGAGCCGTGGCACTGATCCTTGGAGTCGAGGCGCGCGTAAGTTTTTTCGCGCCTTCTACGCGCCTGATTTCTACATGAAAAAAGTGGTCAATTAATGGCAGTTATAATATGCAGTTATGGCCATTTATTAGTTATAACTGGTTATAAATGGGATTATACATTCTATAAATGGGGTTATAAGTACTTATAACTGGTAAAGGGCCTTAACTGTGGGATTATAAGTATATAAATGGGATTATAATGATATAAGTGGGACTATAGTGATAAATGATATTTCTATTCACATATAAATGGATACTGATATTGTTGGGTACCCTCTGGTAATGACTAACACTTCGCGAATATGTGGTAAGCCCAATAAAAAAATCGGCCATGTGGTAAGCCCAATCATAAATTTGCCATTTGGGAATGGTTTGTACAATCCATTTATGACTTTGGAGATGGCTGATTATTGGTAGTACCACATCACCCAATGTACTGATCTATTGACCAACCAGTATTTTCAGGGATGTCAGAAGATTTCGATCACTGGTCAATTGATAGATATCATTATATTACATTAAATGTTAAATTGTTACATATGTGTATATATATATATCAATTGTCATACAACTGCCTTTTTTCGGGGTATCCCCTGTTTTGATACAAACCCAAATAACAATATTAAGAACCACTACCCCAGTTGTTTGGTTATAGCATAGGGGGTGATACTGCCTGCGGATCATGGGATGGCTTGGGCCAGTTCTTTTCTTCATGGCTTCGATAGATATGATTCTATGAGACAATGATCGATGATTGTATATGCAATACAATGTACTGGAACGTTTATACATATATATATATACATATCTAAGTATATATATAGGTATAACTAACTAACTAAATAAATAAATAAATAAATATATATATATATCATATACATATGTATATTTATACATATATATGTACATATGCATACAATAACTAACTGATGTGCTCAAAAACAGAGGGTGATATCCCAAAGATAATGTATCCTACTACAAGGTGGGGCTGGTAGATAGGAAGGTTTCTGAAAAATGGGGGATCCTCCATTTATGGCATGTTTATCTGGTTGGTGGTTTGGGACATTTTTTATTTTTCCATATCTTGGGAATAATAACCCCACCTGACTTTCATATTTTTCAGAGGGGTTGAAACAACCAACCAGTTGTCATGGAATTTATAATTTGGGGGGTACCTACATTTTATGAAACCACCATATATCTATAACCTATCTATAGTTCATAAGGTTTGTAAACCAACTTATACCTCTGTATGGCCCGTTTGTCCACATCCAACTGCTAGGTTCGCCGCCCAAGGCGCGGTCTGAGGGGTCTGCGATGGACGTGTCTGGTCTGGGTTAGTTGATGAAGGGTTTATCTTTTGGCAGTCAGACACAGGAGCGCGATTTTTCATGTGGGTACAACAATGTCATGTTTACCATCCCCAGTCATCAGCATTTTTATAGGTGGTATGTAGAAACCATGCCCGGTCATGGGTGGTAAAAATGACATTGTTTTACCCACATGATTAAGTTTCTTCATGGGAACATGGACTCTCTAAACTTATAAGTGCTGGTATGGATTGGTTAAAACATGTGGTATGCAAGTCGTTGATTTCAGGTGTACCACATTGTTGGATTTGAAGCTGGCAGCCCGGTAGGAAGTGGGGTATGAATTTACAGCAGTGAATTGCGTTTTTGAACCAACAAAACACCAGGAATGAAGTGCAACCACTCCAAAAATGGTTTCTTGAAGTGTTGAAAATACTCTTGTTGGTGGTTTGGAACATGGCTTTTATTTTTCCATATATATATATATTGGGAATTTCATCATCCCAACTGACTAATATTTTTCGGAGGGGTAGGTATACCACCAACCAGTTTTATACCCTCTGGTAAACTAACATAACTATGGAAAATCACCATTTTTAATTGGAAAATCAACTATATAATATAATTTGATATAATTTGCTCATAGTTTGCTCAGATTCGTAGAATTTCATACCTGTGGACCACAGCACATCCAGAGCAAAACGTTTTACAATTTACGACACGGGAAACGGCGCGCAAGCGCTTGCGGTTTCTTGGTGAAGATCCAGGATTGATATCAGTTAAGGCCCGAGTTATACCAGTTATAAGTACTAAGAAAACCCATTTATAGAATGTTTTTAATCCCACAGAAATAACCAGTTATAACTAATAGCCATGGCCATAACTGTAGAAGAGTGGATTGATCGCTTTAGAAGTGGCAGATCAGTGAAAATGAAGTGGCAGAATCTCCACATACGATGGATAGGCCAGCGATATCCAAATCACCAGTTGATAGATGGGCAAAATCCCATTCTTTTGTTTGGGTTTCAACCATCCGTTTGGTGATGCAGGATTTCGCAACCATCCACAGTATCACATTGGGAGTATAATGATGTATAACTTTACTTATAGGAATTATTTCAGTCCATTTATAACTGTTTTCATGGCTATAATTGTAGGGTAACTCTTAACTAGAACGCAACAAATCATTGCAACCACGGAACCACTACTTCCTTGCTAGATGCGTCAATCCCTCAATGTGACATCCCAAAATACTGACCCTCAATGTACTCACGGCTATGAGTATATAGATGAACAGAATTATATACATATTTATATCATATAACTATACATAATTATACATAGTTATACGCAATTATATTTACCATCTGGTTATTTAACATAGCTATGGAAAATCACCATTTTCAATAGGTAAACCATCTATAAATGGGCCAATTTCCATGGCTATGTTAGTCATAACCAGAGGGTATATATATATAGTATACACCCACCATAAGCTTTTGGTCGTGTTATCTGTGTTCAATCTGGTTCCATTTTTTTCGGCACGTCCTTTTCGCCAGGAGCCTGAGAAGCCTCGGGAGGCACCGCAGATTACGCGTTGCGTTGGTTTTACCGGGGGTGTTGTGGGGTGAAGACACTGAGGATTTTTCGGGTTTTCTGCAGTTTTTTGGCCTGAAATACTACTTATTTCTATGGTTATTTCTATGGTTTTGACTGGATGGTTTATATCTGGCTATATATATTAGGAGATTCCTATGGTTATACATGGTTATTTCTATGGGGTTACTATTCCATAAATGGGCTTATTTCACTGACTTATAACTGGTATACAAAGGGCCATAACTCTGGGATTATGAGTCCAGCAACACAGAGAAGAAAAAGGGCTTGACAAAAAAACAAAAAATCAAAACCAGAGCAAACAAAAACAACTGGGAAGTAAAGTGGCGACTGGTTGAATTAAGTTTTGTGCTATGAGGATTGTTTTTTCGGTGATTTTCCCATGATTCTCCCTCAAAAACCATGTAGAATTCTGGTTGGTGGTGACTGGAACCATGGCTTTGAATTCATGGTGATTCTAATGGGACTTAATATGGACTTAATATGGTTGGTGGTGACTGGAGCCATGGCTTTTAAGACTTGGTGATTCTAATGGTGATTCATAGGAAATTCACCTACCAGTTCATGGGGGTATGAATAGGAAATACCCTCTGGTATGATTTTCGATATATTGGGAATGTCATCATCCCAACTGACGAACTGCATCATTTTTCAGAGAGGTAGGTATACCACCAACCAGCTGATTTTTGTTGGTGTCTGTGGGATAATCATGCTACAAAGCGGGGCTTTTTGTGGCCACGAAATCGCGATTCGTTGGTGAACGCAGCTCCAATGTCATTATGGTACGCAAATAACAAACTAGTTACTGGGGTGCATAAAGCAACAAACAAAACTTGGGGGCCCCACATTGTATACGGATTGCAGTTAAGGCCCTTTACCAGTTATAAGTACTAAGAAAACCCCATTTATAGAATGTATAATCCCAAAGAAATAACCAGTTATAACTAATAAATGGCCATAACTGTGATGATGGTGCTTAGACCAAGTGAATGAACTAAACCGCCTTTTGGATCATCACGGCACAATCACGGTATAAGGAAATAAATTGATCAGTGGCTGCAAGACACCCCGGTGGCTTGACGATAAGTTTGGGGATTATGCTAATAGTGGCAACCCCCCAAAAAATAGAAAAACCTTGGAACCTGGAACTATGCGTACATATATTATAATAAAGTATCATATAATATAGTATATATCATATAGTATATATAATATATGATATATAATATATTATATATCATATAATATATAATGTACAATATATATATATATATATATATTATATTATATATATATTATATTATATATATATTATAATATATATAATATAATATATATATAATATAGTATATATATAATATCTAATATATATATATATTATCTAATATATATAATCTATATAATATAATATATAATATAATATAATATATAATATAATATATATATATATATAATACCGTATATATATAATGTATATATATATATATAATATATATAATATATATAATATATATATATATAATATATATATAATATAATATATATATATATAATATATATATATTATATATATATATATACATTATATAATATATATATATAATAATATATATATATAATATATTTAATATATAGTATGTAATATATATTTAATATACTATATTTAACATATACTTATAAATATATAATATAATATATATTACATATAATATAATATATATTACATATAATATAATATATATATATGATAATATGACATAAAATAATATGATATAAAATCAAATGATATAATATAACATAATCTATAACATCCTGGAAACACGTTTTTTTTGGGGGGGGATCACGACCGTAGGGACGACACGAGGTTTTGAACACTGCTGTGATTTTATCCGGGGTGAACCTCTTGCCTGCACCGGTGATGTAATCCATGATACTCCCATGAAAAATCCTATGAAAACTCTACAAAATCCTATAGAAACCTACCTTAAATCGCAGAACATCGCATTATATTTGGTTAATTCACGATTTTTTTGGCGGGTTCATCTCTTTCAATGACCATTTTTGGGGGGTTTATGCCAAGATCTGGCGCCTCAAAGTGTCCACAGATCCCGTCTCCAGGAAACACGCGTGACCTTTGATAATCATCCACAGGCGCGCCTTCGCACTGCGGAGATGGGTCGTGGTGTTTTTTTTTGGAAGTTTCAAGATCAATTCTTCGTGGAGTTAAGCAACAAAAATGCTGGTAGAATGAACAGATTATATATATACTTATATATATACTTATATATATATACTTATATATATATACTTATATATATATACTTATATATTTATATATATATACTTATATATATAGTGTATTATTTGTAGAATGGTATATAACTAATTGGATATAATCTACGTAAATTCAAAGCAGACATAGTATCACATAAAAATGTTAAACACAAAACAACAATGGTGATATAATGGGAATATAATATGGGTACAATATCCCAGATCATTATAATCGGATATACGATAGTTAACAATGGGTATGCGCAAATTGTAGGACTTAACCAAGAAGAAATGCAGTTAACCAGCACCACTATTATCATTTTGGTTAGTGAAATATTGCCATTTACACAGAATTATTAATCCAGATTTAGTGCTTCTAAATGGATCAACATGACTTAGTATAACATTCTGGAACTTTGTCAACATGACTTAGTAAGACTTAGTATGACTTAGTCTAACATTCTGAATATGTTTCAAAATGACTTAGTTTATAGTATATTATATATATATATATGTAGATCTATTTACATGTATACCAATATGAGTTTGGATATAGAGTGACATCACTTACTACGCACATGTTTTTCTTCCCAAAGTCATTTGGAATGACTTAGGCAGCAGAGGGCTTGTTCCTTTGTCGATTTGAATGGGGGCCAGTAAATCTTCTTTTGACTTCGAAGGATGTTTTCCATTGCATAGGCAAGCCTTCCTCGATTTTCTCGTTGGACATGTGAGGCACTTGTTCGATGGTGCAGAACGCATATATGCCAAGTACAAAGATGTGTTTGTTATTTTGAGGCGTGTAGTTTTCCCACACCTGTTGTTTTGAGATGGTGTGAAGAAGAATGTGTTCTGAGTTTCCTTTTAGCTGCTCAGGATGATAAACTTCAATTGGAGAACTTACTAGGCATTACACTTCCCTCAGGTCGTAGTAGAAGCAACCAGTCCTCTCTGAAAATCCGACCAAGCATGATTTTTTGTTCCCTGGTCCGTTGGTAGCCTTAACTTAAACGTGTGCTTTTACCGCATAATTTTAGCACTTTGACAGTTTTTTGGGGTGCCACAAAAAGAGATCCCCAGGGATGTTTACCATCAAATCCACCCCAAAGTCGTGGCTATTCCGCTCCAAACATCTCCAATCTCTGCAGCTCGACGCGGGGAAGGGACATCAGAGAGTGGCAATGTTCTGCCGCAGTGGAAATGTGGAAGTGTGTAAGAGAAACATCGAATACTGGTAGAGGAACAACAACACATCTCTCGGAGCAAGGTGTATCGTACCATCCGTTCTGCAAGATGTATTCCATTTATTAATTTATTATCATTTACCTTCTGGTTATGTAGCATAGCTATGGAACATATCCCATTTATAGATATTTATAGATCATAAAACATCATGATTTACCGAAGGTGGTGATTTTCTGAATATTTTCTGATTTTCCACTTTGCAAAGCGTGAAATAACCAGATCCACGCAGAATTTCCCATTTTTCAAGATCTTCACTGACAGGTGACCAACATCCAGCCCAGCTACGTTTGAGTTCTCAGATTTCAGTACGGCCAAGGAATTGTCAACTCGCTCAGTAGTAGTATCCCATTTATATCTGTAAAGGGCTGTAACTGTGGTTGCCAATGTGCTTCCCCAGATATGTCTGCAATTTGGAAGGTGGCTCAAGTGTATGTCTAATTAAACATGTCTTCGGTACCCAACTAGGGTGTCCAGTATGTTTTTCCTTCAATCCACGCGCCCAAAGTAGAGTCTTACATCGAACATTTGATGCCACATCATCATACAAGTGCGTTCATCCTGTGCTCCTGAAGTTTTTGCCCTTTGTTTATCAATCATTGCAATACAAGGTGGTGCCCCATAGTTAGCTAAGTTGGGGTTCACATAACTCCAATTTCACTATGGTTTATGGCAGATATAAAGAACTAGTTATTGGGGGTTATAAACCAACAAACACAACCCCCATTAACTATAGTTCTATTTGCCATAAACCATAGTTATGGGACTTATGTGAACCCCAACTTAGCGATTCCGAACTGGGGCACCACCTTGTAGCAATCAGAGGATTTCCCCATGTTCCAATAAAAACCGCCATGTGTCATGGAATGACGACCGTGGGTCACAGTTATGTGCAGTTTCAAGGCCCTTGAATTACCATAAAAAATATAAGGTTTTATAAGTCAGTTACAAGGTGGTGCCCCCCCAGTTATAAGTCGGTTTATAATCCCACTAACTATAGATATATCTACCATAAGTCCTAGTTATTAGAGTTATAAACCAACTTAGCTATCTAGGGGGCCTCACATTGTATAACGTCATTTATGGAATTATAATATGTTTTTTTTCCACATAGAAGTAGCAATTTCCAAAATCATAAGTCAGTGAAATAAGCCCAAATTATGAAATGATCACCCCATTTTTCTGGCCATTTTTTTGGCCATTTATAAGTGATAGCTGGGCCTAAAAAAAGCCTGGCGCCTTGGAAGATTCAGATCTCAAGCCCATCCAACGGCTCGTGGTTTTCCGCCCATTGCCGCCATGCGGCAGCGCAAAGATCCTGAGAGCGGCGGCGGCGAAGCGAGTCGGAAGGAAAGGGTGAGACAACTGCAACGAGAGAAACTTGGCAACTGCGGGTGGGACCTCCAAGATTGAAAAAATGAGGATCTACCATGGTCTATCCATATTTAATTTATAGGATGTAAACACATATATATATAGAAAATTAATTATATAATATATATATATATTATCATAATATAATATTATATAGTATAATATAATATTATATAGTATAATATTATATAATATAATATCATATCATATAATATAATATAATATGATATAATATAATATATAATATAATATAATATATTAAATAAAAACAAATAATAATAATGATAATAATAAAACAATAATATATACGTTATATATATAATATGTGTTTGTTTGTTTTTTTTAATATATGTATATATGTATAGTATTTACACATATGTATGTACATATACAAACCAAGTACTTATAGTTACATACATAATATCTAAACCATAGAATTCACCTTTGTTGTTCTTTGCGTCAGCAATGGCTATCCTTGGGGGGCCCCACCTTGTAGGAATGAACCATCCACCATGGTTCCCGTGGGGGATGGGATTCCAGCGTTTTTGGGAAGCTGCTGGGAATAACTATGGCTGATGTTGTTTGATCTTTTATGGCCCCCTTCACAGTCAAGGCCCGAGTTATACCAGTTATAAGTACTAAGAAAACCCCATCAAAATAGAATGTGTTTTATCCCATAGAAAAAACCAGTTAGTTCACTAATAGCCATGGCTATAACTGCAGGAACCTGCAAATCCCAGGGCAGATCTGATTTAGCTCAGGCATGCAGAGCAAGACGCATCGGAGCAGTGGCTAATCATCGGGCTGATGGTTTCCTCGTTGATTTGCGCTTTCCGTGGGAGACAACAAAATAAACTACCCTCTGGTAAACAGCCACATAACTATGGGAAATCACCATTTTTAATGGGAAATTCTACTATAAATGGCCATTTTCAATAGCTATGTTAAATTACCAGAGGGTACCCTCTGGTAATCAAACATGGAAATTAAACATCCGATAGGTTTTAAACGGGTCTTGATGGGAAACCATCTACAAATGGGGGATTTTCCAACAAACCATGATTGCAACAGGGTAGTGGCTAAGCCAGTGCCGTGCCGTGATTTGTGGCGCAGGCTCTTACTGGAACAATGTGGCCCCCCCAAACGTGATGTTGGTTGATGAATCCCATTAGCTATAGTTATGAGTATCATAAACCATTCATAAGTTACTGTATAAATTAATTATAAATATCATAAATCATAGTTACTGAAGTTACTTAAACTAATTTATCTATCTTGGCGGCCCCACAGTGTACTAAACCATCTCTCGCAGCATCCCGTCCCATTGTCCTGCAAAGATCTGCAGCAATGCACCTGTCTGGCTGCATCCAAACATCGATTCGATGCATCTGCAAAAGCGTCCAATTATATATATATATCATTTTGAGTGGGTAAATCAGCTATGTTTTATGGTCATTTTCAATAGCGATGTTAAATTACCAAAGGGTATATCCATATATATATATATATACAGTTATGGCCATTTATTAGTTATAACTGGTTATTTCAATGGGATTATACATTCTATAAATGGCATATATAAATATAATATAATATATATATATATATATATGTGCATATACAATCATATACATATATATTGGTAAATTATAACGACCTCACTGTTCTCCCTCACTGGAATCATGGTTAGTAAAGGGAATTATCCCCAAATGGCCTTAATTCAGGTTAGTGAAATATTTTAATATACCCATATATATATATAGAATAGGAGGCAAGACCTGATTCTATCTCCACTTGATGGGCAATATTGCGCTATGGATGCTGAACAACTTTGCTAAGTTGCTAGTCACTTGTTTTGTTTTTTTTGCAAGAATTTTGCCTCTGGAATCCGCAAGTCTTCGATCCTTGCCATTTATTAACCACACCTTCTTCGGGGTATACCCCAATGTTGACTAGCTCCATGTGAGAAGCTGGGGGATTCAAACCCCCTTGGCAATGGCACTTCCGATTTCGGACGTCAAAATCATTTCCCAGTTGACCGCGTTTTTTCGTAGCCACAAAGATCGTAGCCATGAAGATTGGTTGAAGATACCAACATGATTGGGTAACCCATGTTTGGTAAATTGAGGATCGAGGTAACTCTAGGTACAGGTCATTTCTGAGCTGTCGGGTTTTGGAGCTGGCGCAGACCGACGGGATTTCCAGGAAAATCATGGGCCAGGGATCCCGTCTAATTCACAAACTTAGTATCAAACAAACTATATTTGATGCTTTGTGGGTGACTCGTTACACTTTTTTCCATTTGATAATCAAAATGGCTGGAAAATTACCCACATGTAGTTCCATGATTTTGCCATGTCCTTTGATGCCCATATATTTTCATTGTTGCTGTTTCCCAGCCATGTAAAAAAAAAGCAGTTAACTTTGCTACCCTGCATGGATCGCTGAGGTTCTTTTCGTGCTGATCATGTTGGGCACTGGAATCTACGCCATCCGCAGTGCCGAAGAAAATCGGTAACGACATTGGCATCGAGGCGATTTATTCGTCGTCACTTCGTCACTTGGATGGGATGGTACAGGTCTTGGGGGCCACCGGGCCACCTTTTAAGTGAGTGGGATCTGGTTGGGTAAATTGATGATTCCATCTAGCCTCTTCAGCAGGGCCTTGCCTAAGATTAAGACATCACTAGACATCCAACTGCCTAAGATCAACATCGGCACCTGATCGCACTTCTGACCCACTTGTTTGGGACGTTCTACCTATGGTCACTACATGCAAAGGTGAATGGTTCTCCCAGAAACACGTTAAGCTTCACAGGGTGGGAAACTCAGCTGATGGTAGACGGAAGGCAAGGTATCAACCATATTTTTGTCAATGGCCATTTCAGACACCAATCTATTGGAGCTACCCACCATGCATGAGGCTTATGTAAGGGCTCTATAAGGGTATATATCTCCCGGATATGGCTTTACATTGACTACATAACACCGTAGCTCTATTTTAGGATCCTGAAATTCTGTCAGGATCATCCCTCGAAATTTCCTTCAACTTCAGTGTGCTGTTGGTCTCGACCCTCGGGCCTTCCCAGGTCCGAGAACGCGGCTGACCTCGAGGTGATGTTCGGCTGGCCGACTCGGCTGGCGCTGATTCTGGTTTTTAGTACTTCCAGCTGTCATTTCAGCCATGGATTTCGACGACTTCGCTATCGTGGCGTGAACGAAGAACCGAGGAGGCGTGGATACTCGTGCGGAGCGAAAAGAGAGCCTGATGCTGAATTTGGCGCTGACACCGTGATACCCCAGTGATTCAGGTTGATCCCAAGTAATTGATATGGGTGATATAAAATTTAAGAGAATTCGCTCATACCATCTTTAGGATTCTTTAGGTGTATCCCGGTGCTTTGTGAAAAATATCCAGGATGTTTCTGGTTTTGTACTATTGGCTATTTGATGGTCGCAATTTTGACATTACCTGGTAAAAGTATGAAGATTATGGATGATTATGGGGTAAAACACAATTTTGAAGGGTACTTGGAGGGTCTAGCTATTCACGTTTGGCTTTCAAACATTGTATTGTTGGCATTTGTTGGCTACATTTTACATCATTTTACCATATTTTACCACAACTAAACAACTGGAGGCCTTGTGAAAAACACATCTGGCCATCTGCCGAGGCTCCACGAGATGGACCGGGCCATGGACCGGGCCCCATGAGTTTCGGCCGCTCGGTTTTCTTTCGCCGAAGCCATGGGCTGTTTTTTCAAGGGGCGTATGTTGAAGCAGAAAAGACATGTTACCCTCTGGTAAACATACAAAAAGCTATTGAAAATCACCATTTATAGTGGATTTTCCCATTGAAAATTGTGATTTTCCATAGTTATGTTAGTTTACCAGAGAGTATTTCAGTTGAAGCCCTGAAACCAGGTATTTTTAGACTTATTTCATGTTGTTTCAGTGGGGTTATCATGAAAAATCGATTCATAGATGGGCTTATTTCACAAGAAAAACTGCTATTTTGGGCCACAACTGGGGGACTGGGAACTTGCTGATATAAAGATACCTTACCTAATTACCCGGCGTATACAATTTGGGAGTGAATGAAAGGGGTTAAAAGGCCTGCTTAATGTGCTTTTTTTGTGTTTAAGAGGTAAGCCGGATATAACCTAAGTCAAAGGGACTGTATATACGGATGAGGCCTTATTCCCCTTGAAAATATCATGGGGAATGGAACGACCCTCTTGTAAACAGCCACATAACGAACTGGAAAATCATCATGCTATTAATGGGAAAATCCACTATGTCTATGGCCATTTTCAAGTTCGCAAACTGTTTGTTTACCAGAGGGTATAGTAAGAGGACTATTTAGTGGCAAATAGCCTCTGGTAGACTAACAGCTATTGAACATGGCCCAGTCGAAATAGCCTCTGTTTACCAAGAGGGTTTTTCTTCAGACAGAAGTGTTGAAATCGTGCTGAAATCATCCCCGGACGATCCCACCATGATAAAACAGCCACCGAAACGTGGCTGGTAGAAGTGGCTGCCGAGGCCTGAGAAGTGCTGTCAGAGTCAGATATGTTTCATGATATTTTATGGAGTGTTCTGCAAGTCATTTTCCCAAAAAGTTTTTTTTTAATGTAGATTTGTAGCTATAGTACCTGTGAATGTGTTTGGTTTTTGTTGGTTATGAATTCATGTATATGTGAATTATGTGATGATTATTATATGTGTATATACCCTCTGGATCCCTCCGGTACGTTTCACATAGCTATAATGCATAAATTCCCCAAGGTTGGAGTTCGATGATGTCCCATTAACACTTCCATCTACCCTCTGGTAAACTAACATAGCTATTGAAAATGGCAATTTATAGTGGATTTACCCATTAAAAATGATGATTTTCCATAGCTATGTTAAATTACCAGAGGGTAGCGCTGGGGATTCCGAACGATGTTTGATGATTGAGTCAACTGAAGGATACTCCACAGCGGTTCTTTCGTCAACTGTCAGGTCCCAAGACCGATGGCAACTCCTTTGGCGGGGATGCCCTGGAGTTTGGGGTGAAGTATGAGGAAGTGGTGGCCGATCTTGGTCAGTTATGGTTGCCCTCCGGGAATTTAAGATATGGAGGTACCCCAATAGCTGGATGGTTTATTTCATGGAAAATCCATGAAAATCCCGTTAAAATGAATGGGGGGTAACCATATTCCAGGAAACCTCCATATAGCTATGGAAAATGACCAACTTATATAGTTGGATGATTTACCTATTGAACGTAGTGATTTTCCGTGGCTATGTTAAATGACCAGAGGGTAGATTACTTATTTGGTTATCAAATCAATCCCATATGCTCCATGGTAATGTCAACCCCGCATTAACAAACCATGGTTTATTAATTAGGCGGTTACTCCTCCAATAGTCATAATATGATACTTAAATGGTACCCTCCCAACCAAACAGTCTAGGGGTGAATTAATCCAGGGTTGACATTACTGGAATATGTAAGAACATTTGCCCCCAAAATCACCCAGTTTTGTTGGTAAATAGTCCAAAAACATAGCACCTGCTGAGGGTGTCGCATCACTGGAGGGGTACTGCGTTTAATCCTTTATTTGGTTGCTATGTTTATGGAAAACATAACAATAACATGCAATAACCAGCAAGATTGCAAACCAGCAACATTGTAACATCTTGTAAGATGTTTTTTTTTTTTGTGAACTATCAAATATTGACCATGTTTTCAACGCCATCAGAAAAATGAAGGTCACCATCATTGGGATGCTCCCTTCATCCGATTCCAGGATATCACTAGATGGGAGAGGAGAAACATCACAAACGATTCAAAGCCCTGCTTGTTTGGGTGTCTGAACATAGATTTTCATGGAACATATATGAACATATGGTGGCTAAGAATCCCATATGCCCATGTATTGAATATTCATGATGCTTCATGGAACATATGATGGCTAAGAATCCCATATGCGAACCATGGTGCTGGAATATGTATGAACATTTGCCCCCAAAATCACCCAAATGTTGGTAAATATTCAAAAAACATGGAGTATATGGTACCCCATTCTCAGCCAAAGCCATTTGATTCTTAAAGTCAGCGTCGGAGCCGGACGGCCTTGTTCAGCGACTTCAGAGTGGGCTTCTGCACGAAGATGTTTAAACATTTCAAATGATGTCGAACGGATCAATCATCAAGTTATGAAATCAGTAAGTCAATCCATTCACTGTGAGTCTCACTCATCAACTGACCAGCCGTTGTTATTCATCTGGTTGGTGGTTTCAAACATTTTTTTTTTCCATTTCATATATGGGATGTCATCCTTCCCATGGACGAACTCCATCATGTTTGCAAGATGGTGAAATTGCACCACCCAGATTATTATTAACCATCATTAACCATCATTAACCATATAATAACCATTAATATTAACCATATATTAATGTTTTTTTTTCGAAAAAATAATAACCATTAATATTAACCATTAATATTATTATTATATTACCAACCAATGGTAGGTTATTGCACCACCAAATCGCCGCATCCAGCCTCGCGGTGTCGCGTCTCAGGTGGCACTCGGAACGGAAGTGGCACCAACGGTGTGGGCCTTGGGGATTCCGAGGCTACCCCGGCCATCTTTGACCGAAGACCATCTTAGGATACGTCGAAAGCCAACGAAACATAGGGAAAATCACCATGTTTAATGGGAAAAATAGGGAAAATCACCATTTTTAATGGAAAACCCATGGATATTTTCTGGTAAAAGTGTAAACATAGAAAAAACTGATGGGAAAGATCCACCATGCTATTAATGGGGAAACTCACTATTTCGACTGGGCCATGTTCAATAGCTATGTTTGTTTACCACAGGGTACCCCCCATTTTAGGAAAGATCCATGTACGTGTTTTGTGTGTTTGTTTCCTTTGTATCAAAAAACATCAAAAAGGCCGTTTGCAATGAGATGGTTGCCGCTGTATTGTGCTGCATGCGCAAGTGCGGCGTTATGTTACTCGATTGTTCCTCGATGATCTAGACAGTACTTACCAGAGCTGTACTAGTTTTTTTTTTTGTGGTTGTTTCAATTTCCCTCGGCATTTGCTCATCAATGGCCACAGTTTTGACCCTTTTCCAGTTGTAAGTCAGTAAGTCAACCCATTCATGGAATGATAACCCCATTTATCATGAAAATGCTGGCTGCCCCCCCCAGTTGCGCCCCCCCCGGATTGCAAGGTGGCACCAAAAATTAATAGCAGGTTATTAAGTTTTTTGGTTCCGGTTTGGAGGCGCGCACTGAAGACAAGGCGCGCAAATAATCACAAGCATGTGGTTTTGATATTAGATGGTTATTAAAGGTTTCTCTTCCATTTTGGAGCTCGCGCGTTGGAAATACAGCGCGCAAACACTCAAGGGCAGGTGTTTTCTTATTAGCTGTTTATTAAGGGTTTCAGTTCCGTTTTGGAGCTCGAGCGTTGGAATCGCAGTGCGTAAACAGCCATGGGCATATGCTTTCTTATTAGCTGGTTATTAAGGGATTCTGCTTTGGAAGATTTGAGAGCAAAAGGTTTGCAATTGAAGATTTGGCCTGTCATTATTTTATGAGGCGCATCGTGGGGAGGCAACCAGAATTCCAATTCGTATCCATTTACTTTGAAATATTTTGGATCCCCAATGAATGTTTCACAGAAGGCTAACCCCTCCCCCCCCTAGCCGCCCCCGCCTATAGTAGGCCTTAATTAAGGCCAAATTAAGGGTTGAGTGGGTTTCCCCAATTTTTGGTTCAAAGTGCTTAATTTGGCCTTAATTCTTTGATGGGATTACTGAATTGGCTTTCAAGGGTCTTTCCTACATTCATAGAATTTTGTCTTGGGTCAAAAGAGTAAACATGTGTACAAACAAAGACCCAAGTGAATTTTTGAACAAACAGAGGAACGCATCAAATCAAATTAAGATTTTAACCAAAAAAAAGGAAATTGAACGTTTCCAAGTTACGAATAAAGAACTGCGCTGAAGCGAACAAGCAACTATTTTGACTTTCACGCTTCAACGTTCGCAAGTTTCCAGATTAGACCCAATTAAACCCAACGAACAAAAACCACAAGGAAAAATCAAATTTTCCAAACCAAGACTAAATTAAGGGCCAATTAAGCTTCAAATGGTGGAAAACACAGGGAAAACACAATTTTCCTAATTAAGGCCAAATTAAGGCCTAATTAAGGCCTAATTAAGACTCAAATGGTGGAAAACACCGGGAAAACACAATTTTCCAAATTAAGACCAAATTAAAGCCTAATTAAATTAAGGCCCAATTAGAGCCTAATTAAGGCCTAATTAAGGCTCAAATGGTGAAAAACAAAGGGAAAACACAATTTAATGAAAAACAATGCAAAAACAATGAAAACTGATGAAAAACATTGCAAAAACAATGAAAAATTAATGAAATTTAATGAAAAACAATGCAAAAACAATGAAAAAATAATGAAAAGGTTTGGCTCGAGGACTTCGACCCTGGCTCGAGGACTTCGACCCGTACAAGTCGTTTTTCCGCGCACGCGCGCGCGCGCGTTAGCGGAAAGACTGGCCCGAGGACTTCGACCCATCCACCCGGGGTACTACAACGGGGAAACACAACGGGGAAACAAAAAGGGAACACAACGGGAAAAAAATGGAAAAACGAAAAATGAAAAAAAAATATATCTATAAATTTTAATTTTATTTAAGTGCTTTAAAACAATGTATGTATATAAATCGAATGAAAAAAAAAACGAAAATTTCAGATTTTTTTTGGAAATATGTTTTTTCATTTTTTCATTTGATTTAAATGCCATAGTGTATCAAAATGTTTTAAAACATATTTTTACCATAAACTAAATCAAAAAAATGAAAAAATATTTCCAAAAAAATCTGAAATTTTCGTTTTTTTTCATTCGATTTATATACATACATTGTTTTAAAGCACTTAAATAAAATTAAAATTTATAGATATATTTGTTTTTTTCATTTTTCGTTTTTCCATTTTTTTCCCGTTGTGTTCCCTTTTTGTTTCCCCGTTGTGTTTACCCGTTGTAGTACCCCGGGTGGATGGGTCGAAGTCCTCGGGCCAGTCTTTCCGCTAACGCGCGCGCGCGCGTGCGCGGAAAAACGACTTGTACGGGTCGAAGTCCTCGAGCCAGGGTCGAAGTCCTCGAGCCAAACCTTTTCATTATTTTTTCATTGTTTTTGCATTGTTTTTCATTAAATTTCATTAATTTTTCATTGTTTTTGCAATGTTTTTCATCAGTTTTCATTGGTTTTCATTGTTTTTGCATTGTTTTTCATCTAATTAAGGCCTAATTAAGGCCCAATTAAGGCCTAATTAAGGTTTAATTAAGGCTCAAATGGTGGACTAATTAAGGCCCAATTAAGGCCTAATTAAGGCCTAATTAAGGCTCAAATGGTGGAAAAAACCATGGGAAATCCAATTTTCCATATTAAGACCAAATTCAGGATCCAATGGTGGAAAAGCACAAGCACATTTTAAATTTCTGAAATACATATACAATGCGAAGGACCTAAGTAAGCGTAATTCCAATCAATTTGACATGATAGACATTGGAAATACGCCGCCTGGATTGTACACCAAATGAAGAAATATATTTCCACCAAACTTACACCCATCCAGGTCATGAAATGCATCCAAAGACCGGACTACATTGGGAGAAGTGGACCAAATAGGACCAAATTAAGGATTTTCATCCAAAGAATTTGGAATACACTGGAGAAATTGAATAAACATGAAACACGGCAAATGTCACCAAAATTAAGACTGAATTAAGCTAATTTGGCCTTAACTAGGCTTTATTTTTTTCCACCAAAATAAGGCCTAGTTAAGGCCTTATTAAGGCCTTATTAAGGCCTTAATGTGGTTTTCTGGGAAGGGGGGGGCTAGGGGGGGGGTTAGCTCTCTATGAATGTTGGAACTTCAAACCGCAATGCATGAGTTTCAGGGGGTATTGGATGGGCTATTAAATGGGTATTATCCATCTAATACTTTTCTGGGGTCAGTGAATGTCAACAATAGAAATGTAAGAACCAGAGTTTTTTTATTGGAATTCCATTGTAAATATATGAAAGTATAGTTGGTTGTTATGCAGTGAGATTTGGTTGTCCGTGTGTCCTCTCAAACCTGCCATCCCCACAAATGGCTAGAATTGGCTAGAATCCTAAAGGGACGAGCTCAAACCGGCCAGCCAAGTGCCACAAAGTGGACAGGACAAAGCCCCTCGCAGCTTGGAAAAACAAAAATGTCATCACTATTTGTCGTCACTCATGAGCAGTGAGTGGGTGTCCCTTGCGCACCCAAAAACTTTGTTTTTACATAAGGGGTAGTTGTCACCACAAACGTTTAGGGTTGCTTTGGGAAATGTATTCGGAAGACGGGCCTCACGGCCTTGCCACAATGCTTCTCACAATAAAGGAATATGAATGCTGGCCAGCATTTATCATTTGCTGGAAGCTGATTTTTCCACCCTGCAAAACTATGACATTGCCCATCTCAAAACCTCAATAACCATCTATGAGTGGTTTCAAGCAGCTCGTGGGAAGTGGAGGTATTGGGACCGCTTCCAAAAATAGTTTCCCACCAAAAATATTTAATAACAATCTATTAGTGGTTTCAAGCAACTCGTGGAAGGTGGCATTATTTTGACAGCACCACAAACTCATTGCCCACCTGAAATCCTTCATAGCCATCTATTACTGATTTCAATGGGAAACCGATAAAATGCGCAGTTCCAAATGGCAAAATCTCTGTTAATAAGCTGTCGATAGCTGGTTAATAACTTGTTTTGTGTCCCAACAAATAGAGGTCTATTAGCTGGTTAATAACCTGATACTAAGGGCTTATTAACCTTCACTGCTCGTTGCATCCCGTTTATGTTCTTATTTTTCTGGGGGGGGGCGCAACTGGGGGGGGCAGCCAGCATTTTCATGAATTTATACTGGTTGGTGGTTTGGAACATTTTTTACTGTTCCATATATTGGGAATAATAATCCCAACTGACTTTCATATTTTTCAGAGGTGTGGCTCAACCACCAACCAGTATATATTTATAGCCATAGATGTCCCAAATTCCCATTGGTTGGTTGATTAATAGAGGGGTTTGAAACTACCCCTTTAACAACAGGAAAGGATGATAGATGGGATTAACCAGCTCCCGGCCCAAACCTATTTTTACCAGACTAATGGGAATTCCAGGATCCTAAAATGGAGGTACGTTAGTACCATATGTTTGGCCATTTTTTGTGGGGATATTTTCTTACATAGCCCTGAAGAATAGGCCTTATATATGGAATCGGTACCTCCAATTTTTATCGGTTCCTGAGATGGCCAGTGACAAAAGGACATTATTGTTTATAACATTTTATAACCATAAAAGTAACTGGTAAAGGGCTTTAAGATGCTTTAAGTGCAGGAAATCAATATTAAAGTCATCAATTTTTGTTGCCACAAGACATTTTTGGGAGGTCGATGGGATTTCTTTTGGCACGAGTTGCTGTGAAATCCAGAGACAATCATCCTTGCGACTTCCCAAAATTCGAAGAGAAGAAGAAATGGGAGGGGATCCCCAAAATGGTTGGTTTACAATGGAAAATCCCAATCTAAAATGGATGTGATAACTATAGGGGTACCCCCATTTCAGGAAACCTCCAAATAACAATTTAGAAAAAACAACGACCTCCTCTATGGATAAGAAATACCGTGGGGGTTGTCTGAAAATTTCGGGGAACCACAGTCCAATGGATGATCATATTAGTTAAAATCACGATAATTTCTACAGGATGGTGCCCCCCAGTTATAAGTTTGTCTATAAACCCCATTAACTATAGTTATATTTGCCATAAACCATAGTTATGGGAGTTATGTTCACCAACTTAGTTAACTATGGGGCACCACCTTGTAGGGTATCCCTCATTTTCAGATACCCAAAGTTGTTTTTTTTCTTGGTAAAACCCAGATTTTCCGTGGGAAAATCTCATGCCGAAATCGCGCCATCTTCAGATCCCAGGTTCGTCGATGAGTTTCGGACCTTCAGGCGCCGGTCTCAGGCATCCAAATTGAAGCGACTGCATGGCTACCCTCTGGTAATGACTAACAGTTCGCTATTGAAAATGGTCATAGAAATAGTTGATTTACTCATTAAAACAATTTATATATTTTATGGTACTTGTAACATCTTATAACGGTTAATACTTGGTGAATGATAGTGGTTAGTTTTGGTTAATAACTATGTTAATGAAAAATAATGGTTCACTGGTTGGTGGCTTCAAACATGGCTTTTATTTTCCATTTCATATATGGGATGTCATCCTTCCCATTGACTTTCAAATTTTTCAGAGGGGTTGAACCCACCAACCAGTCATTTAGTTCGTTGATTTACCCATTAATAGCATTGTGATTTTCCATAGTTTTTTGTATGTTTACCAGAGGCTAGAAACCATGCAAACGTACGCTTCGTAAGAAAGTCACCATGTGCTCTGGGTGATGTAAAAGTCTGATGTGCAAAAAAACATCTCCAAACACAATGAAAATTAAATACATGTTAACACTTTTTTGTTTTTGGTTTTACCTTTAAGACTGATTTCACTTTTTTTTCAAACCATTGAACATCACCATGATTAATGGCTACATCATCGAACTAAATTAGCAATGACTTCCACTCCCGAACATGCTGGCCGGGCGCTCTCTTTGGAAGTTCACGACCTGGTTAAGAACGGGCATATCTTTCTACTTGTTGGCGAACTACCTACGGATCCTAAGTAGGATAGTTCAGCCTGGTTACGTTGGTGGATTGACCCGCTCCTTATCCCACGAACAAAACCAGGCTGAACGAAGCGACACGGACTTCGGATCCGTGGGTAGTGAGCCGTTCGCCACTGATCTTCCTACTGACCTGAACCGATCATCGGATCATGCCATTTCAATGGCCATGCAACAGGAACCGATTTATTGGAGGTACCTACCATTTGTAAGGCCTATTTTTTAGGCCTAAATTTCAGGGAATATCCCCAGAAAATATGGCCTTATATGGTATAGTACCTCCATTTTAGGATCCTGAAATTCCCATTGACCATTTGGAAGGTGGTTAGCAAGCATGGTGAGTAAGTCCCCCCTCAGAGGTTGTTCCATGTTGGGGTTTCCATAGTCATTGGGGGTACCCCAATAGCTGGATGGTTTAGTTCATGGAAAATCCGATTAAAATGGATGATAACTAGGGGTACCCCAATTTTAGGAAACCTCCATGTATTAGTGGATCATGACTGTGCGTACGAACCGTTTTACCAAGTGAGCCATTAAAAATAGCCTGCTTGATGAGTTAATTTGTTGGGACTTATACTATCTAATTGAGTCGGGATTAATGAATATTATAACCCATACAGTTATGGCCATTTATTATTATATAGTTATAACTGGTTATAAATGGGATTATACATTTTATAAATGGGGTTTTCTTAGTACTTATAACTGGTACTGTATAACTCGGGCCTTAACTGTAGAAGAGAAACCATTTTCAACCAACTAGAATTTTATGAGATGGGATGGTAGAATGATCCAGTGAGGTTGAAAACGGTTTCCCATTTTTTTTTTAGGTTGTGTGAGTCCCTGAGTCCCTGAGTCCCTATCCCATCCCATCTCATCAAAAACGAAAAAAAGTGGTGCCCCCGTGGCCACGAAATCGCAAAGTTGGGGGCCAGATAACTCCATACTTTCACTGTGGTTTATGGATGTTTCTGACGAAGTATAACGAACTAGTTACTGGGCCAGTTACTGGGGTGAATCTAAACCAACAAACATAACTGAAGGCCTGGGAGGCAACCACATACCTGGGGTAACTGCCTCCACTTTTTAGTTTATAATCCCCGGTAACTATATATAGTGATAAGTTATAAGTATCATAAACCATGGTTATTGGCAGTTATGATCCAACTTAGCGATTTCGTTAACGGGGTCCCCACGTTGTAATTGCTTCATAGCTGGGATGATACGTTCAACTTTTCGTCCTTGGGCCAAGCCTTGCCGCCCTAGGTGGAGTGAGCTTTCCTGATTCAGGCGGCAGTTACGGCTCAGGTATGTTTGTTGGATAAGATTCACCCCAGCAACTGGCCCAGTAACTAGTTCGTTATAGTTCGTTATAGTTCGTTATAAGGACCATAAACCATCGTTAAATTGGAGTTATGCTTACCAACTTAGCTATTTAGGAGGCCCCATATTGTACACGTTATGTTGGCTGTTTAAATATGTTTAAATAAGGATACCCTCTCGTAAACTAACGTAGCTATGGAAAATGGATATAAATGACAATGTGTGAATACGTAAATCATGTATAGATGGTCTATTTTCCATAGCTGTGTTAGTTCACTGGAGGATAAACCAACCATCCATTTCATGGTGATATAACTGGTTGGTGGTTTGGAACATGTTTTATTTTTCCATATATTGGGAATAATGATCCCAAGTGACTATTTTTTTTCAGAAGGGTTGAAACCACCAACTAGATAATGATTGTATAATCATGTACAACCAACAACAATATCACAATATCACAATTAACGGATTGAATTAATGTAACAACTGCAATCAGGAAAGCTTTGTTCTTACCCACGAAGATACTGTCATATACTGTAGAAACTTTAGACCTTCCTGCACAGTTAAAGCCAATTCAGTACATAAACATCAGGCTTTTGACTATGTTGCTGGTTGGTGGTTGGAACATGAATTTTATTTTTCCGTATATTGGGAATAATCATCATTTGACGAACTCTTATTTTTCAGAGGGGTAGGTATACCACCAACCAGGTCGATATTTCCTCAGGTCATTGGTTTCACTCCCAGCAGATGCTTTGATGTCCCCGATTGGTTTGATGTCGGAGGCAAGATGAGCTTTGCCCCAAAAGACCCACCAGGTGAGGAATGGGCGTTCAACCATGGAGGAATGGGTGCCCAATCTCAGGGCTGTTCCAATCCATTACAGGTAAGGCCCAGAAAAAAAGTTTTTATAAATGGTGTTAAAGTTATACTTTTTTTTAAAAAATATGGGGTTATTATTCCATAAATGGGCTTAAAACATCTTCAAACTGACCTATAACTTATAACTAGTGGGCCATAACTGTACACAAGGTGAGGCCTTCCAGTGAAATGTTGGTCGGTAAATCCCACGAAAACTATAGATATATCCTCCCATAAACCATAGTTCAAGTTATATGCGTCAATGTCAACTTAGCTATTGTTTGGGAGTCTCACCTTGTAAGTGTATATATATATATATACTTATGTTATAGATAGAACTGGAACCTGAGGTACAACTGGAACCATCCAGCAGATATGGGGGTTCCTTTAGCAAATCCGTCAAGATTGGTCAAGGTTCTTCTACCACGCTATCCACTTCTGGGGTAGAAGACGTTCCAAATCTTTAGATTGTTGGTTTTTACCCTCCAGCGATCAAAGATGGTTTGCTGAAAGAATTCACTTAGTTATCATTAACTCTGAGGTTTGGAACATGATTTTTATTTTTCCATATATTGGGAATTTCATCATCCCAACTGACGAACTCATATTTTTCAGAGGGGTAGGTATACCACCGACCAGATAATTTCAAGCCATGTGTGCACCGTAGGGATTCACGTGGTGCTTCATATGCGTATTTTTCACAGTTCGACCCGGGTCAAGCACCAAAAAAAATCAAGACCCATATATATATATTGTATATATAATGTATATATATATATATGGGCTGGTAGATTAAAAGCTACAAAACCATGGAATTTTGGACAAGTGCAAATGTTGCAGTTATGGCCATTTATTAGTTATAACTGGTTATTTCTATGGGATTATACATTCTATAAATGGGGTTTTCTTAGTACTTATAACTGGTATAACTCGGGCCTTAACTGTGGGATTCATATTCCAGCACCCGAACTCACAGAGTCGAGCGATCAGTGCAGTTTTTTTTTTCATCAGTTGCTGCCGGAAAAATCATCAGCCATGGTGCCCCCAGCCACGTGATGTGAACGTTGGTAAACATAATCCCCAGTAACTATAGATATATCTAAACCGGCCCCTCTATTTTTACCAAAATCAATGGGAGATCTTCAGGATCCTAAATTTGATTGGAGGTACGTGAGTACCATATGTTTGGCCATATTTTGTGGGGATATTTTCTTACATAGGCCTAAAAAATAGGCCTTATATATGGAATCGATACCTCCAATCAATCGGATCCTGAAATTCCCATTGACATTTCGCAGCAAACGATGACCATGATCCCATGAGAATCATTGAAAATCTATCAATGGAATTTCTTGTCCATATAGTCATATAGTTATTAATTGCCCTAATATGCTTACCATGGTGCTGGAATATGAATCCCAACATTTGCACTTGTCCAAAATCACCCAGTTTTGTAGGTTCTTTATATAGCAAGCAGCACCATGGAGCATATGGGTTATAGATTTCAATAGGGAGTCCAGTTCGGATTATCATTCTATCTTGCTTTTAAATATATATATATATGTATATTTGTATATGTATATTTGTATATATATATATATATTTGTATATATATATATATGTATATATATATATATATGTATATATTATATATATATTATATATATGTATATATATATATGTATATTTGTATATGTATATTTGTATGTATATATATATATATGTATTTGTATATATATATATATATTTGTATATATATATATATTTGTATATATATATATATCTTATTTCAAGTTAGTGAAATCTTACAGTGTAATTGACCCAGAACTATATTTTACAACTTTGATGGGTGACTCTTAAGCAGTCACGTCGCAGGTCGTGGAACGACCATGAGCTTTTCACCCAGCGATCCACCTGGAGGCTTTGGCGGCCCGGACCACCGGCCAGTGGTGTTTGTTGGTGAAACATATGGGAATATTGAATGACATCAACTAATTAATGTATAATATACCAATATGGGGATAAACTGGTAATTAGGATATCATGGGAATAACTTGAAATCTGTAATTTAACTACAAAGGAGGGCCCTCCAGTTATGTTCGTTGGTTTGTAAACCCCGCGAAAAATACTCTAGTTAATTCTAGTTATAGGTACCACAAACCCGAGTTTTGGGTGTTAAACACCAAATAATTTATATAGCCTATAGCTATGGATTTAATGAAAATTATAGGTAAAGATATCTGATTCGTGACAGCCAAGTTGGCCACAAAACTCCCATAGCTATGGTTTATGATACAAACGTAACCCTAGTTCATGGAGGCCACATAAACGAACAAACAAACGTGGGAGGCCCCACATTGCAATGACCCTCTGGTAAACTAACATAACCATGGAAAATCACTATTTTAATAGGTACATCAACTATAAATGTGCCATTTTCAATAACTATGCACCACCTGGGATGGTTAAAACCCTATATATAAATAATGGGATAAACCATCTATCAACTGGTGCAGGATTTCTTCCATCCACAGTAGGCTTTGACGGTTTAGGGTCATGCCAAAGTACCACACATACTGGGACAAAAATTCCTGGGTTCAACGCCCTCACATCCCTTAAAGTGGCAGCCGTCTTTGTCAGCCAGGATATTGAAGACGGTTTAAGAAAGATTATGAGTGTTTTCATTTTTTCCAGACGTGCATCTATATATTTTCCAGATAGATATCATCTATATGTATGCATGACGTGGATGACGCAAAATATGGATCACATATGGATCCGAGTTGAAGTCATAACTGTAAATGGTGTGGTAATCTACGTGTAAACGACCAGCCGACATAATCATCTACGTGTTCCTGTTAGACAAAAATCTTCAAGCAACTTGACCAATAGAAATAGTCATACGGCATCACACCATGGTTGTTGAAGGAACGACCCATCAGCAATGTCATAATGTCATAAGCAGAGTAATCCCTTCTATATAACCCATATGCTCCATGTATGCTATATTTACATACATTTGGGTGATTTTAAGGGTATACATGGAGCATTTGGGTAATATTAAACCTGGATGAATGTGATGATGACCTCACGTCGTGACGTCGCTGGAATGACGGCTAATGTATAGGGAATCATCAACAAAGCTGGCCATGAGTTTCAGCTATTTTCAGGTTAGTGAGTTATTTTATGTTTATATCATATTAAGTTGTTTTTTAAGTAATTTGTATGTCAACTTAATATTTAGTTTATGTTAGTGCATGTGTAAGTTGATTTTCCGATGATATAAACACCTTCATTTCGTTCATGTTTTTTAACATAAGAGATGATGCTGACAACCGCCAGCCCAGTACCCTTGCAGCGGCCTTCACACGACAAAGCATGAGAACAACAGCTGTTTTACATGTCTGGGAGGACGGCCCCGGAAGCAAACACAACTTGAAGGTGAAAGAAATTGCCTGCTGGTTCGTGGTTTGGAACATGACTTTTATTTTCCTCAATAGTTGGGATGATGGTCCAATCTGACTTTCATATTTTTCAGGGGGGTGGAACCACCAATTAGCCTGTGTTTGAATGGTCGTTCCTTGTACTACTTCTACGTCTTTCAAATGCCCAGACACTCAAAGCACCAGTACAAGTGGGTAGGTGATGTTGCCTTATGTGGTAGGGATAAAGTGAGTGTCTAGGTACATAGTGCCATAAACATGTGGGAAATGTGTAGGAATGAGTCAAGACTTTGGTTGAACAGATACAGTTTTATTCGTTTTCAGGAAAAGATGTTTTTGAACAACATACTGGATACGTCTAAATACCAACATGTTGAAGTCAAATACGTGTTTTTTTCATCCTGAAGTGAATAGGCCATATGTTCAAAGATATTCCCGGTTTAGGGATTCATAACATGTCCAGAATGTCTTTCTCCACGATGGCTGATTGGGAAACATGATGCTGAACATTAAAGAGATATGCTAGCAAAAACAACTGGCTAATATTCACATATATTAACATATTTTGACATCAATAGATCTGGGCAACATGTTTCATGATTCGCTGGCCTGATAGCAAGAACTTGGTCATATTAACATATATTAACACTGGTTGGTGGCTTGGAACATGAATTTTCTTTTTCCATATATATATATATATAATATATATAATATATATAATATATATATAATACATAATATAATATATATATATAATATATAATATATAATATATATATAATATAATATATATATATATATTGGGAATTTCAATCCATCCCAACTGACTCATATTTTTCAGAGGGTTCAACGGGCTCAACCACCAGCTCAGGGAAGATGACCTTCGGCGATCCACTGGGAGGTGCTTTTTGTTCAGAAACCCGACGCGGCAAACACCGTGTCGAAAAAAAGCATCAACGGAACAGTTTCAGTAGGACTTATGGTAGATATATCTATATTTAATGGGATTATAAACCAACTTATAAACCCTATGGTTATTTCACAGTTCGCCATGGTATAGATGGCCCATAGAAATAGATGGTTTACCGAACTTAAAAAATGGGTGGATCTTTCCATGGCGAACTGTTAGTCATAACCAGATGGTATGTTTCACTAAGAAACAGACGGATTTCATGGGATTTTTTGGATGATTTCTTAGTGATTTCAACGGATGTTTATCACTTCGTTACAACTAAGGTTGATATGGGATACCCTCTTGGTAATTTAATATAGCTATTGAACATGGCTTTTTATAGTGGGAAAATCCACTATAAATTGTCATTTTCAATAGCTACGTTAAATTACCAGAGGGTACAACGAGAGTGTTCATAAGTTCATAAGCTAAAAAAAAAATATTCAGACCTCGCAGCTGGAGGCCCCGAAATTTCAGGGCCTTTTTGATGTGGCGCGGTGTCTGAAAATGCTGGGTTTTTTACGCGAAATCATGGCTACTGATTGGTGGTTTGGATCATGGCTTTTAGTTTTTCCGTATATTGAAAATCATCATCCCAACTGACGAACTCATATTTTTCAGAGGGGTAGGTATACCACCAACCAGGCTATTTTGATAGGAACAAGTGGTGCTTCACCAATGGATTGGACGGGAGTTGTTCAAAAAAAAAGATCAAACACATCGGCGAAGGGATTCGATGGGACGAATATTGGTTTCAGCCTAAACCATCCCAACCATCCCAACTATCACCATATGGAAGGTTCATAGCATTGGATTTCCTGAGGTTGTTTGTTTCTGCAGTTATGGCCATTTATTAGTTATAACTGGTATTTCTCTGGGATTATAGATTCTATAAATGGGGTTTTTGTTAGTACTTATAACTGGTATAACTCGGGCCTTAACTGTGTTTGTTTAGTCCATAAACACCACGGAGTGCAGCGCAGGAAAGATGAGTTTCAGTCCGAACGACCCACCGCCCGCAGGCGATGGTGAATCATGGGTAAGACGACGTACTTGGTGGCGAACTACCCACTTAGTAAGTGGGTTATAACCCCAGTGATTTACATGGGATAAGGAGCGGGTTAATCCACTTATAACTGGGGTGAACTAACCCACTTACGATTCGTGGGACGAACCACCAAGTAATCAAAGATATTCATACAATGGGATTTTAATCGCTGATTGTTGATAGCTAAGTTGACTTAATGGGATTTTAATCGCTGATTGTTGATCGCTAAGTTGACTTAATGGGATTTATAGTTGATTGTTGATAGCTAAGTTGGGGTTCACATAACTCCAATTTCACTGTGGTTTATGGTACTTATAACGAACTAGCTATTGGACTTATAAACCAACTTATAACTAGGGGGGCCACATTGTAGGGATTCTATGGGAATGTAATCTATCAAGATATAAAACTACAGCAATGATAGTGAATAATAGTGATGACGGTGATGATGATGATCATTATTATTAATTACTATTATCATTATACTAACAATACTGTGAACCGTGAACAGTAATGTAATGGTAATATATGGCAATAATAATCAAGGCTATTTGTCATACAACTAGTGATGGTGATGATACTCATGATTTGTACTATTATTGCTATTACTAGTACTATTACTGTCATCAACATTATTACTACATTCCATGATGATGATGATGATGATGATGATGATGATGATGATGATGATGCTGATGATGATGATGATGATGATGATGATTAAGAAGACGAAGATGAAGATGAAGATGAAGGTCGCTCCTCTGTTTGACGAAAACACACAAATCGGAAACTACAATGGCTTGATGATTCTCTTCGAGAACAGATTCTAGCGTTCGTCAACTGGCTCCTGACTTTATGACGAAGCCGGTTTATCGACAGTCATGAACAAACAGACGTATTGGTTTTATGGGTTTAACTGATTCTTTCTGGCTTATAGCACCCAAATAGATAGACAAGTTGGCAACCTAGAAAATATGGAGGAAACATTGATAATCATCATCTAGTTCCCTTCCTGATGTCACACTTTTCGGCATCTTTCTTCGGAGTACTACGATATTTGGGCAATCCGACAGATGCCGACAGCCAGGCAAGATGAGTTTCAGCCCTAGCGATCCTCCAGCCGGAGGCAGTGGGGTCTCCCCACAGTTAAAGCCCTGAAGCCAGTTTTTTATTTGGGGGAGGGGTGGTTAGTATTTCATAAATAGGTTTGTAAATAACTTATTACTGGTAAACATGGTTATACATGGTTATTTGTCATGGTTATGAATGGGGGTATTTTTCCGTAAATGAGGTGATTTCACTGACTTACAACTGGTACTCGTATTTGGGGCCATAACTGTTTTTGTATGTTGCCTTTATGAACCCCATCAATGAACCCTCGAAATATTGTGTTCTATCCACCATAAACCATAGTTACCCTGGTTATTTGCACCAGCTTAGCTATCAAACTCGGGGTCCCTCCTTGCAGGTATTTGCCAGCCAATACTAGCACGTGGTTGTAACATGTGATTGTAACCGCAAACAAAACATGATGCTGGTTGGTGGTTTCAAACATTTTGTTATTTTCAATTTCATATATGGGATGTCATCCTTCCCATTGACGAACTCATATTTTTCAAGATGGTTATTGCACCACCAGCCAGTGATGGCATGCCGTGAGATTATGACGCCCACTGTAGTATGTTGACATGTTTTTCCGATCCAAGGATTTTCCGATAATCCAATGATTTTACCATCTGGTTATTTAACAGTTCGCCATGGGAAATCACCCATAGAAATAGATGGTTTACCTATTAATAGCATGGTGGATCTTTCCATGGCAAACTGTTAGTCATAACCAGATGGTACTGTTGTATTCACCAACCAGATTATACCATCATTAACCATATAATAACCATTAATATTCACCATTAATATTAATAGTATAATCCCTTTGGGAAAATCACCATTCTCGCTATGATGGGATATGTTTCACCATATGTTTTCCGGCCAGATTTGACCGGGGATGCTGCTCAATGGTTTTGTGAAATGAGGGATATGAAAGCATGGTAAATGTATGAACATGTCATGGGAAAATATGGGCTTTATATGGTTTTATAGTTTTACATGGTGAGAAAACAGGAAAACAAGAAAACAACATTTTTGTTAAAGGATTTCACTGGGCCAAGTTGGGTAGCTTTCACAGCAACGTTGCCCAGAAAGAGAAGAATCGGCACCTCTTGAGACTGACGCCGAGATGTCTTCAGCAGCCAGTGTCAACGCCGTCAACGCCAAAGACGGTGGCGATGGGGCTACCCAGCTTCCTGCTGCTATGGATGGCTGGGGACTATGGATGAACATCTTTGGATGTCCTCGGTCGTGACAGGTCTTGAATTCTAATACTCCCCCCACAAAAGGACAGGTCAATGCGAAAATCATTGCACTGAATAGTGGATTTTCCGGCAAACTATATATGTTTGACTACAAAGGGTATATTCAATCATATCCCATTAAATCCCATGAAAACCATATAAATCCTTCTTTGTTGACGGTTAAATCCCATTGTGTTGGCCCAACCACATTTCTGCTGCCTCGGTGAAGGCAAGATGAGTTTCAGCCCCAATGAACCCGGAGGTGGGGCTGGTTTTAGTGTACTGACTGGTAGGTGGAAGTTCCAAAACATAAACAAAGTGATCGACCAAAAATCATGAGACCTCTACAGTTTTGGGCCTTCACCAGTATCAGTTCTAAGTTATATGTCAGTGAAATAAGCCCATTTATAACCATAACAAAACTGGTAGAGGACTTTAACTGTACCGGAAATCCTTGGATCATTGGGATGGAACATCTGAGTTTTTAGTATGTCAGCTTAAGCTGCGCAGATCGTTTTGATGTAGGATCTGGGGTGCCTTGAAGCCTTGCAGTGGTTACACTACCGGTAAGTCTCAATCCTTCCAAGACAGGAATGTTTCTTGATGCGTTTAGCATTGGTTCCATGTGGAACAGGTATGACTATGACTATGATGATTGATCATAAAGGCAAGAGTACGGTTCATGCGATCCTTCCTGGGAAAATCGTAAGAATCTTTGAACTGAACATATGAAATTCATGTTTGAGATTGTTCGCTTTACAAACCGAACCATTATCTACAGTCTTGTCACTGTGAGTGTGTATATACATGTATATACTATATACACATATCTATCATATACTCCCCGTTTGCTTCAACCTTGGAAAAATGACATGATCATCCCATATCATCCCAATGATCCACCAGGCACTCCGGGCTTGGTGTTTTTTTTGTCATCCCCAAAAAGATGCAGAGATTTGTGAGAAAAATCCCGTTATCCCTATTGAAAAATAGAGATTTAAGTGAGTTATCCCTATTGAAAAATAGGGATTTGTGTTTTCATCTATTAATGGCATAGGGTTCAATAGGGAATTCATCTTATATTGCGCTTTCATATACAGGTTTCATCGTAGAATTGTTTTGAGATACAAGGGATGGGTAGGCCCCCCCAGTGATGGTTGTTTGTTTATAAACCCCAGTAGTGTATGGATAAATTTAATAAAACAATCCCACTGCGAAGTCACTAGAAGTGATGGTTATTAAGGGAAACTAGCCCAAGAATTTAAGTTAGTGAGTATATTGTTGAAATGTGTCCATTTTTTCCATATCATATACATTATATGTATAATATTGTATAATATGTAATATAATATGTAATATTAATGTATATATATATAGGGTAGAGGCCTGAGGTTCCCCGGAAGGCAATTGAAGTTCTTTGTTGTCAATTTTTCCGGGGAACCTCAAGCCTCTCCCCTATATTAGATATGTCCAAACACCTTCTGAGACTGTATTTGGAGTTGCTTTTTGGGGTCTAAACATCTTCTCAGAGGGTATTTGAAGCACTAGGGATATATATATATAATATAATAAATATATATATATATATATTTAAATTTATGTGCATATATATATATACTATATATTTCGAATTATTTTGTTGCCTCATTTCTTTCTCCAGATGGTGTTTTGGCCATCGCACGAATCCCACCAGGCAAGATGAGCTTCGGTCCATCGGACCCTCCAGGCTGCACGGCCAAATCGCGGTTGGTTGGGGGCCACATAACTCCAATTTATGGTTCATGCAATGTGGGGCCCCCTAGATAGCTAAGTTGGCGTTCACATAACTCCAATAACTATGGTTTATGGTACTTATAACTATAGTTATTGGGGCTTATGGGGCCCCACATTGTGGTACTTATAACATCTTATAATGGTTAATACTTGGTGAATGATAGTGGTTAGTGTTGGTTAACAACTATTAATGAGGAATAATGGTTCACTGGTTGGTGGTTTCAAACATGGCGTTTATTTTCCATTTCATATATGGGAGAATCCTTCCCACTGACGAACTCATATTTTTCAAGATGGTTAAAACCACCAACCAGATGGTTTATGGTACTTATAACATCTTATAACTTGTATATAACTATAGATAGTATTTCGAGGTTTATAAACCATGGTTTATACCTCCAATAACCATGGTTTATGACATTTTAACTATAGTTATTGGGTTTTACAATCCAGCAAACATCACTAGCTGGTGACTTTATAACTCCAATTTCACTATATATGGTTTATGGTACTTGTAACGAACTAATTACTAGGGTGAATCTGAACTCTAAACCAACAAACATACTTGGTGGTTCATCCCACTTAGTAGGTGGGTTATAACCCCAGTTATAAGTGGATTAACCCTACTTATCCCATTTATAACTGGGGTTATAACCCACCTACTAAGTGGGATGAACCACCAAGTAGTTTCATGTTCAGGTAATATCACTTTGGTTACAAGCACACCTCCACATCAGACGAGCAAAACATCCGAAGAACTGTTCCAGGTCTACAGTTAAAGCCCGAAATATCAGTTACCCTCTGGTAAACGTTTACAAAACTATGGAAAATCATCATTTTCAATGGGAAAATCCACTATAAATGGTCATTTTCAATAGCTATGTTAGTTTACCAGAGGGTATGTTTATGGTTATAAGATGTTATAAGTTATAACTGGCTATTTCCATGCGGTTATTCCATAAATGGGGTGACTTACAACGTGGGGACGTCCAGTTCGAAGTTGGTTTGTAAACCCCATTAACTCTAGTTGTAAGTACCATAAACTGCCATAAACTATAGGTACTGGAGTTATTAACCAAATTAGCTATTTAGGGGGCCCCACTTTGTACTGACTTATTCCTGATATTTTGGGCGACCGCATTTGGAAATGTTGGCTTTGCGAGTCATTTTTGGAGGTGAAAGCGAGCCTTTGACATATTAATCTGTGGTTTGCCTCCATAAAAAATTGGGTACACCCGGTACACCCAAGAAAAGGCTACTCTAAAGTGAAACATCATGATAAATCATGGCGGGTTTGGTATGCCCTATTTTCAGACAGACCCACGTATACCGGAAAGGTCGCATCAAAGAGAATGGGTACGTCAGAACATCTTTCTCAAATGCCACCAAAGTCATTTAGTTCCATGAATGGAAATCAGCCTGGTGTTGGCTCATCTCTCATTTTTTCTCCTGTTCACCACTTTACTTTCTTGTTTCAAATACAATGTGGGGCCCCCTAGTGATGTTAGTTGGTTTATAAGCCGCAATAACTATAGTTATAAGTACCATAAACCATAGCTATTGGAGTTATAAACCAACTTAGCTATCAAGGGGGCCCCACATTGTATGTTTAGATTTATTTGGGATGATTATCCAAGTTGAGACCACCGACCCGCCTTTTTTTGGTATCGCCTATAGTATCCTTGAGTTGGAAGCTGGTGCATAAGATCCTCCAAGTATAGAGATATCTACCAAAGAATCCAGCGATTTATTTCCAAGAATTTAGGCATCGAAACAGAGATCCCCAGGTTTGATACTAAAGTCAGTGTCTATTGTTGATCATTAGTTGTGATAGTAATAATAACAATGCTAATAATTATGAATAACTAATAACAATAATGATAGCAACAGTAATATTCATACATATGTATATATAGGCTTGTCCAGGCTTCTGGAACTGCGTAAACCGGAATACGATTGGGGGTTGGGGTGGGGTGGGATGTTAACGTTCATGTGAACTTGGCGGCGCAGTTGATGTACGCACAACGGGTGGGGGGGAGGTGGGGTGGGATTTAACGTCATTGCTTGAGGCAGCAGTTGATGCTACGCACACACACGGGGGGGGGGGGTGGGGTGGGATGTTACGTTCATGTGAACTTGCGGCAGCAGTTGATGCTACGCACACGCGAGGTGGGGGGGGTGTGGGTGGGATGTTACGTTCATGTGAACTTGCGCAGCAGTTGATGCTACGCACACGCGGGGTGGTGGTGGGGGGTGGGGTGGGGGGGTGGGTGGTGGGAATGTTAACGTTCATGTGAACTTGCGGCAGCAGTTGATGCTACGCACACCAGGGCCTGGCAAATATATATATATATACATATATATATATATACTGAATATATTTACCGACATTTTTGGTGATATATACTGATGATGATGATGATGATGATGATGCTGATGATGATGATGATGATGATGCTGATGATGATGATGAGGATGATGATGATGAACATGACCCAAATGAAACTTGTTAATTCCGCGACGAAATTTTGTCACGGAATGGACAAGTTTTACCAACCTAATTCAGGTTTACGCAGTTCCAGAAGCCTGGACGAGGCTATATATACAATATAAATATCATATACCATTATACATTACCCTCTGGTTATTTAACAGTTCGCCATGGTATAGATGGCCCATAAAAATAGATGGTTTACCTATTTTAATAGCATGGTGGATCTTTCCATGGCCAACTGTTAGTCATAACCAGAGGGTAAGTTGTCTTCAACAACCAGATGATACCATCATTAACCATATAATAACCATTAATATTAACCATATATTAATAGTATATTTCCTTGAAGAATCCTGTGAAAATCGCCGCTTGCATTCCCTAGGTAAGATGAGTTTTGCCCCTTCGGATCCACCAGGCGATGAGTTGCGAGCTTGGAGCGTCGAGCTTGGACGGGTTTTGAAGGTTTGGATGTAGGAAACACATATGATTCATATGATTCGTATGGAAAGTTATAACTGGATTAACCCTACTTATCCCATGTCAATCACTGGGGTTATAACCCACTTACAAAGTGGGATGAGCCACCAAGTATATATATATATACATTCATATGGGGACTATGGTGATCAACCTGATAAACCAACCATAGATGATGATATAAGATGATGATATATACCAAATAGAACTATAGTTTATATGTCCCATAAACCATACAATGTGGGGGCCCCAAACGTGATGTGAACGTTGGTTTAGATTCGCCCCAATAACTAGTTCGTTATTTGCGTACCAAAAACCATAGTGAAATTGGAGTTTTAAACCATAGTAAATAATGTTCAATAATGTTCAATAAATTACATTTATGTAAGTGAATCAAAGGGGTGTTTCAGTAATTTAAATAATGAGTCAGATAAATGTTCAATAATGATTATAGTAAGTGAATTTAAATGTTCATAAATGTTTACAAGATGTGAATACACCACAATCTGGGTAAATTATAACGACCCCACTGTTCTCCCTCACTGGAATCATGGTTAGTATAAGGAATCATCCCAAAATGGCCGAACATTTCAGGTTAGTGAAATATTACATTTTACCCAGATATGATTCATATGATCATGTAAAATTACGTAAATGTTAAAAACATGATTATAGTAAGTGAATATCAATGTTCATAAATGTTCAGAATATGTGAATATGCCATGATCTGGGTAAATTATAACGACCTCCCTGTTCTCCCTCACTATCATCATGGTTAGTAAGGGGAAATCATCCCCAAATGGCCTTAGTGAAATATTATAATCTACCCAGGTAAATGTTCAAGCATGATAATACAATGTCTAATTACATAACATGTTTACCACGTTTTACCATAATCAAATATACTATGTACTTAAGTTTCTGGGCAATATATATGATTATATATATATAGTCAGTGTTAGAGTAAAGTACTATATATATATAGGATAACATCATGTATTGATTCATATCACAAGATGTTGGTAAATATACTTTTTTTTTCTTTCAAAAAAACTTACATGATCATAATGATGTACAATGTGGTGCCCCCAAGATACCTAAGTTGGCTTATAACTTATAACTCTCATTTCACGTTTGGACTTATGGTAGATATATCGAACTAGTTAATGGGATTGTAAACCAACTTATATCTGGGGGGCACCACCTTGTAGGATTCGATATTTTTCTACGGAGAGAATAAAAAAGGTGGCGCCGGTGCCAGGAAAATCTTTGAGCTTCAGCCCCAACGATCCCCCTGGAGGCGCCCGCAATGCATGAGAGCTGAGTTTCTGCTTAAAACGACCTACGGTAAACATACCAAAAACTATGGCCAATTGGGTAAATCCACTATTTCTATGGAAAATCACCATTTTTAATGGGTAAATCCACTATATTTTGGGGTTCACATAACTCCAATAACTATAGTTTATGGTACTTATAACTATAGTTATTGGGGCTTATAAACCAACGTTCACATCACGTTTGGGGGCCCCACATTGTGGTACTTATATAACATCTTATAATGGTTAATACTTGGTGAATGATAGTGGCTAGTGGTGGTTAATACTAGTAACTATTAACGAGGAATAATGTTTTTAATGGGCAAATCAACTATTTCTATGGCCATGGCTTCAACAGCGAAGTGTTAGTTTAGCAGAGGATAGCTGGTTTAATGAAAGATTTATAAAAGATATACTGTAAGTGATGAAGTGATGGTGTTTTATTGTTCCATTGCCTTTTTTTACATGGTATTTTCCTGGAGGTGTTGTGTTATTTTCCGATGGCTGAGTTCTCCATTTGCAGAATCTGTAGGGAAACAATAGAGTGCATACACACATTCCTCATAGGCAAAACTATAGAGTAATAGAACCGTATTTTATTGGTTGAAATGGTTGATATTATCCAACATTTTTGTTTCAAAACATTAGACTAAGTCCTCAGAAAGCCAATTGATAATAAAACACCCACGCTGACAAGTATTGACACCACACATGGTTTACTGGATGAATTGTAGCGACAGACTTTGACTTTCAGCAATTTGGGGACTAGATTTCTTTACAATATATCCATTAAAAGTGAAACAGTCGGAGAGGATTTGATTGGCTGTTCAACTTACTGTTTGGAGTTTGCCACAGTGCGTTATTGTTTCGAGTTTCTATGGCTCTCTTGTGATGAGCACTTCTTGAAGTTGACTCACCATATGCAGTGCACACTTCAAACGACAATACAAGTAGCAACAAACTCTGCTGGAAAAATGGACGCTTAATTTCAAATTGCCGATTGATTGGAAAAGAAATAAGATGACATAAGTTCCCCATATGCGAACCATGGTCCTTGAATATGAATCCCAACATTTACCACCAAAATCAGCCAGTTTTGTAGGTTTTAATCTACCAGCACCATGGGTTCGCATTTGGACTCTCCAATATGTTCGGATTGGCTGAGACATGAGACCCCAGAGCCGGTGTCGACTTGTGATTGAACTTTAAAACCCGATATAATCCATATGTTTTATCCATTTTATCCGTGTTTCATAGCCATTTTTGGTGGCTTCCATAGTGGGCTACCCCTTAAAATTGGTGGTTTTCAATGGAAATTCCTATTGAAATCGATGATTTTTTTTCGGGGTATCATTTTAGGAACCCAGTCATCTGAGTGCCTCATCCATGGCAATCCCGGTCACGCGCCACTTTAAACAAGAAGCGCCGTCCAAGCGGCATGAATAGTTACATATAACAGTTACTAGATGTCACATCTAGTCAAAATTCATAAATTCAAATCAATTCAACATCAACAACACATATCTATGTGTATATATATAATGATATAATCAACAGATTCCATTCGCTCAGTTATAAATAAACCGTGCGCAGACTGCCTGTCTTTTTCGCAGATGGACGCCAGGCACAGGGAAGATGAGCTTCTCTCCTGAGCCTCCAAGTATGGGAGGAGGTGGTCTGGCCTTTGGGAGCCAATATGGAGATTTTATGAGATTTTGATTCAGATGGAACCCAGAAAAAAACATGCTGTTTACCAATGGTGAAATAAATGGTTATAAATAGTTTTATATGATTATCAATGGGGTTATCATTCCATAAATCGGTTATAACATAGTATAACATGTTATAACTGACTTATCACTGGTAAAGAGCCATAGCTGTATGTTACTGGTCTTTATTGGTTAAGCTTCAATGAATATGATAATATTAACCAACAATAAATGAAAAACATCGGGATATCATCAGACAAAAGGTTGATAATATGGACCGAGTGACTGCAATTTTTGAAACAAACCTACCTCCAAAGGGTACTGTATTCTCGAACTGGACCAAGAGTGTACAGTTAAGGCCCTTTACCAGTTATAAGTACTTATAACCCCATTTATAGAATGTATAATCCCATAGAAATAACCAGTTATAACTAATAGCCATGGCCATAACTGTAGGTCCTTTCTTCATGCCTTCTTTTAAGCATCGCCGATGCCGGTTGGTTGCACCCCCTGACAAATCCTGACGATAGGGTTGGCCAGTGAATATTCTGCTGGTGATTTTATCCCATTGTTTCATGCCTATAACTTATAAAGAACCATGACTCACGTATCATTTGCGTTCATTTGCTCACTTTTGGTGAAGTTTGATATCCTCCTAAACATAAACAACATGACACATTACAATCAGCCATAGTTTTTCGACCATGGCTCGCAGGGAAGATGAGTTTCAGCCCCAATGATCCTCCAGGCCAGGGTTTCGACAAGAAACATGGTGACTTGGTGACCAAGAAAACCAGGGGTCTTCATCAAGAAATGATGCTTTACCTAGCAAAACAGTGGCCTTAAGCAACAAGACCCGCGATTTAGCACACAAGCCTGTGGTTTCTAACTGGGTTTGACAAATTGTAGAATTTGGTCTTAGAATTTAAGTTGCGTTTTCGCCCCTGGTCCAGTGGTGCTGTGTCATAAGAATGCGCCGCGAGAAAGAATATGATGACCAGATCAACTTTGGTTTTCTCAAACTTTGACCCATGCCCATCTGAGCCATTGAACATACCATTTGTGATTGGTTACAACAGAGGGGTTTGTTACTATGTGATTTATTTTGAGATTATGATACTTTCAACACATAATTAGCAAGATACTTATTTACCAGCCAGCAACCGACCAGTATGCCCAGTGATGTTTTAGGATAGCTATTGAAAAGGGTCCGTTCATAGATGAATTGCCTACAGTTCTGGCCTTTTACCATGAGATCACCCCATTTATGGAATTATAACTCCACTTATAACCATTTAGAATTGGTATTTCGGGATGTATTTCGGGCCTGAACTGTATCAAAGGTGGCAAACAAACCGCCGCCACACCAGGCAAGATGAGTTTCAGCCCTGAAGCGCCAGGCGAGTTTCAGCACTGATACCAGGGATTTGGGAAATCCACCAGATTTCTGGGCAGAAATGCACAGTTTAAAGCCCGAAGTACCAGTTATTTTGATGTTTTTTTTTGGGGGGTGATCATTCCATAGGGATCCATAGGGTATAGTAGAGTTATATAGGGTTATTTCCATTGACTATAACCTGTATTTGGGCCATTTCACGGCAGGGAAACGTTTGTTTATAAAGTTGTTTTCGCAGCCCTGCAAATCCAAGGAAAGAACTGGGTAGCCTTGAAACTTGTGACATCACATGGAACTTCGTTGTAGCAAAAACATTTCGCTAACTGAATGTGAATAACCCACTTGAGGATGCAGGTCCACTAAGAAGTGGCTAACAGTTGTTGATCATGAACGGAATGACTTTCCAGGGCCCTCTGATCGACTCTGAGCGTGTCACTGGACATGGCGGCCGTGTAGGGACGAAGTTTACCGTCGAACCGAGGCCAATGCCAGGAGTCATCTGGACGTCGGGTCCCGTTTGGTACGGGTCATCAATCCTGAGGGCGAAGAGACATGCCCTTGGCACTGCGGCAGTGCACGACGACGAAGATACTGGATGCGAGCAGGCTGATTTGCGCTGTCGAAACGCTTTTGTAAGTTGACTTTGTACAGCTCACCATAGTAGGGATTATATCATAGTATATCCTGGTGAATATTGGTAATTATAGATGATCTATACTACTATAGATGATTTAGTGTCATTTTGTCTCGTTGACAGAATCATGAATTTCGTGTCTGAAAGGGTCGTTTTGGATGCCCAAAAGCTTGAGGAACTCATCATCACCTGAATCACCCGTGGTCAAGTCGACCTCCTAAAAAGATATATTTTAATGTCTGGGTCAGTACAAAGTGGGGCCCCCATGGCCATGAAATCGCGATTGGTTGGGGGCCACCTAACTCCAATTCCACTTTATGGTACGCAAATCTCGAATTAGTTACTGGGGATTATAAACCAACTAACATAAGGTAAGTAGGTTTATAACTCCAATTTCACCAGGGTTAATAGGGACTATAACTATAGTTGCTGGGGATTATGAACAAACTTATAACTGTGGGCCCCACATTGTACATGTCAACAGCAAATAGTCACCTCGCATTGGGTCCCAATGCTCATCCCAATATATATATATATGAAAACGAAAGACATGGGATGTAAAAACCAGGGTGCCACAGTGACATGGATTTGTGTGAAAACCAGGTAAATCGAAGTATTTTTCCTACTTGGTGGCGAACTACCCACGGCTCATGGGCTCGGCTCGTGAGTTATAACTCACCCCAGTTTTTTGAGTGGATTATATAACCCTACTTGTCCCATTTGTAACTGGGGTTTATCATGGTTTTGTATTGGTTTATCATGGTTTATCACCATTTTCCCTATCATTTTCCCTAGTGTTTGATGGCCCGTCCCCATCTTCCCCATCTCCGCAGTCCCGAAGGCAAGATGAGTTTTGGTCCCAGCGAGCCTTCTGGAGGTCTGAGTATGCCGACACCAGGATAGCCCATACAATAGAAAGAAAGAAAGATAGATAGGTTAGATAGATTAGATAGCTGCTTATATTCGGTATCTTTTATAGATATAGATTAGACATATTAGATAGATTGGATAGACTAGATAGACTAGATAGACTAGATAAATTCGATAAATGAAATAGATGAGATATATCAGATAGATGAATTATTAGATAGAATAGATAGATTATTTGTATTACAGTAGATATTTTAGATAGATTAGACTGATTAGTTAGATTAGCTAGATTAGATAGATCAGATGACATAGATGGATTAGATGGATTAGATAGGCTAGATCAGTTAGATAGATGAGACAAATTAGATTGGATAGATTTTAAAGATTGGATAGATAGATGCTGGAATGCCCATCTAAACTTATTGGCGTATATTGGTGCAGCCCGATATCCGCCAACTTGCGTTCTACGGCTGCCAGCACGTTGCCTACTGGGTGGCGAACTACCCACGAATCCTAAGTGGCTTATTTCACCACAGTTATATATATATATATGTATGAGTGGATTAACCCGCTCCTTATCCCATGTAAATCACTGTGGTTATAACCCACTTACTAAGTGGGATGAACCACCAAGTAGACGTGCTTTGGGGGCTTCGTGGATGATGTCCCTTTCTATGTTCTGGAGTTGGAAGAAGCCGCTTTTTACTAAGCCTTAAGCTAACAAAAATCTTGAGTCAGCACCGCAAGAGCTGCAGTCCTGCCCGGCTCAGAGATGGATCGATCAACTAATAGATCGATAGATCAGTGGATCGATAGATCGATAGATAGATACTTTGACTACCTTGACTCAATTTAGCCGCATTCTGGTCGTCTGCAAAGAGAATTCGGTGGCGCTCCCCCCTTGACCGAGTCAAAGCCCTGATTGGCCGAGTAGTCAGTGATAAATGCTGGAGCATTCCCGTGCTGCTGGCGGCTCTGGCGGCGGAGTCGAGCTGCTGAGCAATGGGTCAGGATTGCAACACTGGGAGAGCTTCAACATCGCCTTTATGGCAGCCCAACAGAATGGCACTGCCAGTGAGATTCTTGTGGTACGGATGCTACACAGCCTTGCTGGTTTTCGGGGACAAATGCCAAACCCCTGGCATCAACTCGATGCTGTCAGGTTTTCAAACCTTGGAGCTTACAAACTAATAAAGGTCCTGACGGTCAGGTCCCCAGTTTTTAGGTGGTTGTATAGACCCTAACAAACCCACTAACTACTTACTGGCGGTTAAGCGGGAATAAGGGAATACAAAAACTATGCCCCATGGCAAGTTCCAAGTGCTTGATGATGTGGTTCAATGTTTACACCAGTGTCTCTGGTTAAAAATATCCATTTGTGATGATGAGTTGGTTGGAGAATGGAATTGTACTATTTAATTATGACATGATCAAAATAAAAAAATGAAAGGCCAGTTGCCTCAGTTAAATAAGATCTAGACCAAATGTATTTAAATGTGGACTAATTAGTAATATTAATAGATCAATTGTATCAAATTATTGCCCTTAAAATTAATGGATCATGTTGCATTGCCCCATGCTGAAGAAGCATCATCAATCACATGCATTGCCCCATGCTGCAGAAGCATAACATGCATTTTCCCATGCTGAAGAAGCATCATCACATGCATTGCCCCATGCTGCAGAAGCATAACATGCATTTTCCCATGCTGAAGAAGCATCACATGCACTGAAAATTGCCCAAATCAGATGCCAGTGAAGCATCCATGCTAAAGAAACAACCATTCTTGGAAACATCCATGCTGTTTTTTTTGGAATCTTTAATGATATTTTGGCCAGGATCAAAATTCATGGCAATTCGAACAGCCAAGATCAGTGTGCTAAGGTGGCACTGACGCATCTGTTCAGAATGAGGAAGATTGCAAAAAGCGGCCAGCTAGCTGGCCACATGCCAGCTTGCTGGCAACTGAAACAACCCCAAAACGGCTAAGAGGCCAGCTAGCTGGCAAGAGTAAGACATAATATGAAACAAAATATGAAACAACAAACTGGCCAAACACCGTAAGGGTCTTTTGGCCAGTTTGTTGTCTATATTTTGCATTTAATTTATTACAAGACATTGACTGGCCAGCTCACTTGCCAAAGGCCCTTTCTTTACATGCATGGCGACGGGTGATGCCCACAGTGAGTGTCAGTGCGCTGCTTCTTGGGCTCAATTTGATTTGCGTCAATTTCAATCGGAGGTCGAAGGGAGCCCCGACCGTCGGCGAATGATCTTCCGCATGGCCTCTTTCAAGTCTATGCTTGAGAGCCACTTCTGAGTTGAGGCTGAAAAGAAGCGAAAATAGTTTGAAAAACGTCGGTCAAACAAAATCAAACCTCAGTCAGTGAACAGCAATAACATCCAAGCCGCGGAGTTGTTCCTCAAATAGTTGTACTTCGCCTTGAGAAGCTCCAGCGGCATCCTGTGCAAGAGGCGTTTTTGAACCATCATCGGGCATGGCGCTGGCTTCTCCTTGGCTCGCGTCCATTGTCCCATTTTGCTGGCTTGGATGGTTTTCGCAGTCACAGAAGGGGGCGGTGGTCGCATCATTCCCATGGATACAAATGAGGCTCTTGACAATGGACGACGTTTGGCCTGGGAAATTTTGCGGCAGTCAAGTGTAAGTTTCAGTCAAGCCAGCTGGCAGCGCACATTTATGATCAGCCAGCAATCTGGCCATGCAAAAAAACACTTTATCAGTCGCGGTGCTTCGCCATTGGAAGAACAAATTTGAAGGACCAGCAAGCTGGCCATTTCAACACCAGCAAGCTGGCCATTTCAGGACCAGCAAGCTAGCCAATTCAGGTTATCATTTCAAAATTTCAAAGGGTGACAATCATTTTCACCATTTGATTCCAGGCACTGGTAGTCAGTCCATTCCTGACCAGCAGTGGTCTTACCACTGGTCGTTGCTAAAGAGGGTTGTGTTTCCAGACCTTCAAGTCTGTCTGGAAAAGGCCAAGCATGCACCACCCATAGATGTCGTCCGCAGATGCATACAGGACTGCCGTGAGCAACACGGATCTGCCGGCGGAGTCCCACACCTCAACTCATCGATGATATTGTTTCGCAAGTTGACCTGGATAAAAACCAAAGCTCATTGTGTACATAGAGTGGACATTTGATGATATCAGTTACTATTTTTTAAGTTTGAAGGCAAGAAACGCCACGGAAAAAAACCTTCTCCAACGTAGGCAACATCTCGAAGATCATGGATGTGCACAGTGCCACCCGCTTGTACTGCCTCAGATCAACCCAGAAAAAATGTTCAAAATCAATGGCAAAAAACTGCCTGGGCACGGAACCATGTTCTAAATGCAAACTGATAGTACCGTCATCAACCAGCAAGCTGAAACAACCAAACAGTTTCAACCAGCAAGCTGGTCCAATCATCAACCAGCAAGCTGGTCCAATCAACTAGCAAGCTGGTTCAATCATCAACCAGCAAGCTGGTCCAATAATCAACTAAGCTGGTTCAATCATCAACCAGCAAGCTGGCTGGGTCAATCATCAACCAGCAAGCTCGTCCAATCATCAACCAGCAAGCTGGTCCAATCATCAACTAAGCTGGTTCAATCATCAACCAGCAAGCTCGCTGGGTCAATCATCAACCAGCAAGCTGGTCCAATCATCAACCAGCAGCTGGTCCAATCATCAACCAGCAAGCTGGTTCAAAGCTGGACTACTTTACTTGAATCGAACAAGTTGCAACAGCACATCTTCCGATTCACCATTGGTGATGGCATCCTTCAGGGCGAACAAGTAGGTATGCTCTGGCTCTTCAGGGGCGACTCGGCGCAGGTTGCCCTTCGACACCGAGAGGTCTTCCGCAACAGCAATGACAGTCGGGCGGTCAAAGAGAGCCGGTCCGTCTTTGAAGATCTTGGACTGCAGCCTTTTGACGGAATCCCTGTTGATTGGCACCTTTGGCGCTGCGCTCCACTAAGACCTCAAAATGAAGATATTTTTACTTTAGGCACTTAATGAAGATATTAGTAGTTATATGAACTTATCATAGAAGTGATTTTTACCTATTTTCACTGATTTTCACTTATTTTGCTTACTTTTTTATGTTTTTTTGTAATGAGACTAGCATTGATTATAGACGAGAGTTTTTTCGTCATATACTTTTTGAAAAGAGTTTTTTGCGTCAAATACATCTTTTTTTTCTTCATGGTGATTATTGTTCTTTTTAGGGTTCATCCTGTTCAGGAGTTATCCTTTTCAGGAATTATCCTTTTCAGGAACTACTCTATTCAGAATGAATCCTTTTCAGGAACTATCCCTTTCAGGAATTTTCCCTCTCACTGCGGCACAGAAGAAGCATAATCTGGTTGCCATCATTGAGGCGCAGAAGAAGGAAAAACAATCTGAAGGATGCTTCTTGAACAGAACTTTTACGAGTTTGGAAAGTAATTGCACCAAAAAAATAGTTCAAAGCGACCGACTACAAAATTCCTAGCAGCAAAAAACTTTTGATGCTCGAGAGTTCGATCAATCTAAACTTATAAATGTTGTATATTTCTCCATGTATTTTTATTTCAAAGACGTTTTTATTTTTTCGGATTATCAGACTAGACAGTGAAATTTCAGGAAGCACATATTTTTTTAAAATGACATTTCCATCTCTTTGCAAATTTTAAGTTTTTAAAAATATAGATAACATATTTCATTTTTTAAATTATGTTGGAACTTAATATAGTTCACTTCCTGCAATTCCTTCCCTTTGTATGGAAAAAATAATTCATATTTCCTTTGAAAAGGACCGCTTGTTTTTCTATAGCTGACCTTGTTGATCTTTTTGTCTTTTCATTACATTATATATATATATTTAAATATATATAATGAAAATATGGGGATGTCTCAAAATGAGGTGTCCGTTTTTTCCCTTAAAGTAACCATTTTGGAACCAAAAACGGACACCTCATTTTGAGACATATCCATATTTGTTTTGAATTTAAGCA